ACCCAGATACTCTTGTGCCATGAACATTTTAAATCTGCATTTACTGGGGCATTTTAAATGTTTTTCAATGAGCTATTTGTTTTGTATAGAACTTATAACCTTTTGTTAGATTTATCCCTAAGTGTCTCCTATATCTATGCTACTGTAAATGATTTTAGGCTTTATTTTTGTTTTCTAATTATTTTCATTGATTTATGGAAATATAATTAACTTATGAGTAGTAACTCACTAGATTTGTTCCTTTTTTATCAAATTTTTCTGTAGATTCTTTTGAATTTTTTTAGACATAATCATGTCTTTGTAAATAAAATTTTTTTCCTTTCCCATTATCATACATTTTTTGGTTTTTCCTGTCTTAATTCATATTCATCCTTCCTGGTCCTTTGGTGAGTCTGTGGTATTCTACTTAATTAGAATAAATCAGTAGGAACTCTTGCTATAAATTTTCCATGAAAATATTGGGAGATATCAATGGTTCCTTGGACTCAGAGTTTCATAGTCTCCATTTATTTACATGCTTTATTCTTTTGGAGGAAGAGTATTCAGACTATATTTGTTGCTGGACTTATATTTTAAATTCAATTTCAGACTTTCTGATAATTGGCATTTAGATTTGTAAGTATCATATAAAAATAAACTGAAAGCTGTGCTTATTGAACAGATTTTGGGAATTCACAGTTTCCTAATTTGTTGTATCTCTTCTGAAACCTGAAAGTTCAATGAATTTGGCTTCTAATGTAGTTCTACAACTGAGTTTATCATGAATGTTGTCTAGTTATGGTTTGGCTTGATGATTTTTAAAAATTCAGTTACAGGACATCTAAGAGAATAGCATTTCAAATTAGGATTCAGATGTGTAAGTGGAAACTTTTCTGAAATATGTAACCCCAAAGTTTCTCTAAGGTAAATACAAATCCTTAAGGATACCGTAATAAAATAAAAGCCTAAAATCCGGTGTTGCAAGTATTTGGAGCATTGATAAAGTTCCCAGGGGCCTCTGGATGTTTAAAGCAACAGTTGATTGAATGGAACAATAAATGCAGAGCTCAGTGTATTTTTTCTCTTTCTTTCTCATCTACTAGAAAAATATAGATAATAGAGCTCATTTATTTCCTTAACATTTCAGAGCTCCGCAGATGGGAAAACACAACCCAGTGGAAATGATTTCTGGCAACCTTGAGAAGATATGTTAGCATTTCGTGGCATTTCTCTCAGTGACATGTGAAGCATAGTTTTCTCTCATTGCAGTGTCACAGTGAAGTGTCACAATAAAGCCAAAATAGTGTGCCCTCAGGGAAAACCAGGAAAAGAGACCATTTTCCATGCACACACAAAGGGTAATATTTATTACAAAGCCTTTCATTTTAGCTACAATGCTGCCTGGGTTGTGGGTACTTTGCAATGGAGAAATGCACCAAATGAGAGATTGAAAGCAAATGTTATGCATAAATCAAATGTATTCTCCGTAAATATAAGTAATATGTAAAAAAGGGAGATTTACCTATGGGCATGCATGCGTGCATGTCTGTGTGGTGTGCCGGGCTCGTTGGGGAGGCTACAGTGTGACAGTGTCAGCCAGGGAGGATGGAGTCCAAGGAGCACAAGGCTGGGAGTCAGACAGCTCTGTCACTGTCTATGCTAGTCACTGCCAGCGCAGGTATTATCTCTTGTAGTCTCAAACATGTGATTTAAAAATTATCATCTCTATTTGCTACATGAGAAATCTGATGATCAAAGAATCCAACCATTTGCTGCAGATTATGCACCTAGGATTATTGGTGCAATTTCATGTAACGTTAGTGTCAAAAACAATGATTTATTTTAAAACAAACTTGTACTTTTTACAAAGTCTCACATATCTCTTCCAACCAAGACTTTAGCTATTATTTCCACCCAAATATTGAGCTTGATTTTCACTACCATTAAAAAATCATTGCATGAAGGTCATTCTCCTGCTCCAATCTGTGGTCACTTACGGGGTCCTATTTAGGTTTTGCAGCATATTCTTCAGTACCATCTTGATGCGAATAAGTGAACAGCACATTTGAATCACTGGGCAAGGCTCTGTGGCTGACATGTTCCTTTACACCAGTGAGGTCATTCTTTTATTCAGCTTTTGTCTCCACAACTTGTCAAGGGGATGCAAAATTTCACCGAATCTGTTTCAGGACAGGACAGCATGGAGGACCAAACATGGCCTTTGGCATCTGTAGACTTGGTTTCAAATATCAGCTCTGCCAATTACTAATTATTTGATTCTGAGAATGTTACTTATCTTTATAAGTAATCTTGGATGATTGCTAAGAAGGTAAAGTTTGTAATGATCAGCTCTGTGCTTCCTCAATCACCAAAGAAAGAAATGCCATTTTGCTGACTGCCATCTCCACTCACCATGTGCAGTCTCACTGATGAGTACTTACTGGTGCTGGCAAATTCCCTCCTCCTCCCCCCTCTTCTTCCTCTTCTTCCTTCCTCTGTAATTTTATTGTGCAAAACATTACCATGAGTTTTACCCTCCTAACCAATTCTTAAGTGTACAATACATTACTGTTGACCCCAGGTACCATGTTGAACAGCAAATCTCTAGACTTGGTCTTGTTTCACTGAAATGCTATGCCTTTCTTTGGTAACTCCCTGTCTCTCCCCACATGACCCCCAGCAACCATTATTTCACTCTGTTATTCAATGAATTTGACTAGTTTCTGTTTTTCATATGCATGGAACCATGCTTGGCTCCCTTCTTTGATTGACTCATCTCATTTAAAATGTCTTCTAGCTTCACTCAAGTTGTTGCATGTGGCAAGATTTCCTCCTTATTAAAAGTTGACTAGAATTCTAGTTTCTTTATGCATTCATCTGTCCATGGATTTTGAGAGAGTTTTTACATCTTGGATATTGTGATTAGTGCTGCAATAAACATTGTAAATAATATTGAAGTTTGTCAAGAATATAATTATTAGCTGGGTGTGGGAATTCATTCCTGTATTCCAGCACTCAGGAGGCTGAAGCAGGAGAATCTCCATGAGTTTGAGGCCAGCCTGGAATACATAGCAAGTTTCAGGCCAGCCTGAACTAATAACAAGATTCTGTATCAAAACAACCACAGAAATATTGTTGATCCATAATTTCACTTCTGAACAATTATACAAAAGAATTAAAACGATCCTGGAAAAATCTTTACTGTATTCCACTTTTTTAGCTTCATTTCTAATGCTAGTGTGAGTTTTACATCATTATGGTTCTTCAAATCCATTTTCTTTTCCTTCTTTAATATATGACAACGTAAGTGCCTCCCTCATTTTCTACAAATATTTTGGTTTCTTATAATAGCTTAGGGTTACTATATATTTTCTGAGAGTTTGGTGGGGAGATTCTTTTAATGTAGAAGGTGAAGAAACTTCTTGAACTCCTTTCAGATTCTTTCACCCTTTACCTCCTCATCTTCACATTGGACGCATTCTTTGCCTTAATAGGTAAGTCTCCTGTGACCAGCAAGGCCCATGTAAGATGGATCTGTCTTTGCCTTCTCAGCTCGCACTGCATGGCCTAAACCTGTGATTTCCTTCACAAACTAACTTGTTTAGTCGACGTAGGTCTTCATGGCAGCCTTCATATAAAGACCTCTTTGGCTCCCATGTTTATCTGACTGTATCCTGCTTTGCACCATCGTCTGTATGTGGTCACATTAAATTTAGGCTTATCAGAGACATTTTGTGAAATCATACTAACTTATTTGGGATCCTCCCTCCTCTGTTCCCATCAAACTAACTTCAAGTTCTCAAATTTTCCATTTTTGGGGGGGCAGCAGAGTGGGGAGCATTTTTAACTCTTCCACAAGGGGGAGATTTTTTTCCCCTAGAGGGAACGACATTCTTCCTCCCTTGGAGATTTTCCCATTTATGTATCTATATTCAAGAAATTGTGCCTATTTCTGAATTGTTTGCACACAGAGGCCATTTTCTTTGCATTGATGTTTGCTGAAGAATAGTTTAGGGACTTTTTTTAGTATTATTACTGAGAATTCATCATCTTTTAGAGGCGGAATTAGTAATATCTTGTTACCAAGAGTCCAAGATTCTCTTCTCTGGGTTTTTCATCTAAAGCTCCTGCATTTTTCTTCAAAGAGTATTTAAGGACTATCTCTCATAGACCCATAGTTGGCGAAACCCTCTCTTCTTCGTGGGTCTTGCCAAGAAAATGTTTGTCTTAACTTCACACATACAGTGATCTGCATTAATTCTGAGTGACATACATGTAGGAAATCCGTGTTGAAAGGGCCACACTTGGGAGCGTTTCCAATAAAACCATGTGAGCACAGGCATAGGGATAAACTGCTGTCCACTTTTATGAAATCCAATCTTCTTCCCCCTCCTTTTATTTGTTCTTTGTGCCAAATGGGTAAGAAGCAAAAGGCACAATGCCACCCAGCATCTTTTCACTTTTCTTTGTTTTGTGCCTGAGATGAGTTGATTGACTCTCATAGCTTGTTCCCTTGTTTGGTAGCTCTTCCATTCAATTCAAAGCCCAAGCTTTGTGGCTTCTCAAGTTTGAGACACAATGGTGGCAGAGATAAGCAGTTTTAGTGGCACAAAACTATGTAAAAAAACCTTGTGATTTATCTATGCTGCATACATATGTTGTGTCTGGTGGTGTATTTTTCACATTAGCTGTTTCTTAGGATTAGCAAACCAGTGAAAATCTTGTTTCATCCCTTCCTGGTGATTTAATGTAGCATCAAGCAAAGCTCAGCTTAACATATGCTTACTCAGGATTAAGGATGATTCTTTAAAAAAAAAAAAAACTCTTCTGATAGGCAGTAAAATAGAATCTGCACAGTTCAATGGATTCCACAGATCAGCTGTTTTTGTTGGTGCCAATAACTAACCCTGAACCCCTACTCCCAAGTTTCTGAAGTCTTTGGATTATGCGCTGTGAATGTCAAATTCCAAACTGCAGTGATCTCTGTTTCACCATGTTCTCTATTTCCTCACTCGCTGCAGTGTCGCCTATGATTGCTCTATGGCAAAGAAGAGGAGGGCTGAGGAGCAGGCTTTGGGTGTTCCCGTCAACAAAAGGAAGTCTCTGCTGATGAAGCCCCGACACTACAGTCCGAGCACAGACTGCAAAGGAGACCGGGAAGACAGGACTGAGGAAGATAGTCCCTTGGAAACCAGCAACCACTCTGCTGCAGGTAGCGAGGAAGAGTGTCCCCAATTTGATCTAGTCCCTGGCATCAAGATTCAGTCCTATGTAGAACCATGAATGATTTGGGTTTAAAGAATATTTTGGATTTGGAAGTAAACCATTTATTTCATTCAATATTTACATACTAAGGGACCTTTTTTTATCATTAACTATGGAGGATCATAGGTAAACAGAGAGTCTTTTCCCTGGGTTCATTTTTAAAAGCACAGAATCGAGCAATTCTTCTTATCGAAGAAAATAAAAGATCCTAAATCTAAAAGTTTGGGAGTTTTTCATCTGCCTAGACAAATGCATGTCTACTTCCTGAAAGAATCCTTCAAATTACAGGCCAACTTTAGGCTTTGAGATATTTTTCCAGTGATTGAATTCTATGTAATGGTCATTAATGATCATAGTATATAAATTATGCATACATATCATTTAATTTTTGTTTAAATAGTATACATATTATTATTTATCCCACAAAATAAAGTTGGTAGTATCAATATGAACCAATGTAGGTAGTGCATGCCCTTAATATATTCTATATATTTGAGTAAATATTTATACAAATAGACTGTAGAAGTGTCCTGAAGCTTTTATCCTAGAGGATCTTTCACTAGGAAAATAATATTGAGAATGTATCACTATTCCTATTGTTTCTAAAATAAATCATTGAATTCCACTCTTAGGTACACATTATACTTAATTAATTCAATTCTTCATTCACTTTTCAGGTGTCTTTGAATGCCAAGTGAAATGTAGTTGCTATTTTGAAACTTTAAGATGCTATTTTAAACCTAGAATTTATTTCTCTCCAGTTCACAGTTACTGCCATTAGTCCTGGGAGTTGCCTGCTTCTAGAGATTGGAATATCTATCGTTGATTGGTTTGGTGTGAGACTGAGATTGAGATGAATGCAAAAAATTTTAAAAATTTATGAAAAACATTAAAATCTAAAGCTTGGACTAACAAGAAAATGAGAAGGAAATAGGTTTACATCTGTTCTATTGCATATACACCTTTCTTTGAAGGATTAAGGATCAAAAATATATTAGGTATTTGAAAATTATATAAAAACATATTGCCTGAGACAGCAGAAATCTCAGATCAGACTTATCCTATCTGAAATATTGTTGTCATATAAATAATTGGATATTCTGTGGTTAAAACAAAGTTGTATGCTGATTTGAACTCAGTTAATAATTTTTCTTGTTTTTCCACATTTAGCATATTCTAAAGACTCAAATCATCTGTAAATTATAAGCAATTTCAACATTTTTATTTTCTATGAAAACTTCATGTTGAATATTTAAAGTCAATGAGTCATTAAGGGTAGAATCAAGATAATTCATGTTTAACAAAATATTTGCATTAACTCATTCTTATAAGACCTGTGTAGCCAAGGGTTGTATCTGGCTTGCTGACTTCCCATTTTCTGTGATAGGAGGTCACTCATCTTTGGTGTTTAACGCCGGCCAAGTGACTACATTGTTCGAACATATTCAGTGCTATCTTTCTGTGTAATATTCGAAGCATTACTGATAATAATGAACACGCTAAAATCACAGCAGTAGCAACCATTGCTTTTAGTTCTTCACAGAGTCCAAGCACATATATTACAAAATGTGGTCAAAGAATATGATGAATATTTAAATTAAAAAATTAGGGCTGGGGATTTAGCTCAGCGGCATAAGCACCTGCTTGCAAGTAGACGGTCATGAGTTCAATCCCCAGTACTGGAAAATAAATAAATAAATTTAAAAATTATTACCGTAAAAGACACACTTCTGTAATACCCCGGAAATACTCATCCCATCCTTCTTGCCTTTTTCTGAAGCAGTTCTGCAAGCCCTCTTTATCCTCTGTCTTTATCCTGTTGTATTTGCCATGATATCTTGAATTCTAAAATCTTTACTTTTCGTGGTCATTTCAAAGAGCCAGAAGTTGCACTGTGCTATGTCCAGTGGATGAGGTGGCTGAGGACACACCATAAAGTTTTTATTTGGCACAAACTTCCATAAATGTAAACAGTAAACTGCTTCAGAAAGTGTCAAATGACAAGTATTTTCCATGGAAAGGGGAGTATTTGGAGAGGATTAATGGCTATGTGTCTTGTACTATAAACATGTGTAATTTTAAATATTTGCCTTAGTTTGTGAATCACACTTTGTGTATCATTTAATCCAAACTATAATACCCTTAAGTGTATGTGATTATGGTTTCAACTCTACAGACAAGATCACTAAGTACCAAAGAGATTTAACACTTAAGAAAACACATTTTGTACATGTCAGAAAGAAGATAATTAGGAAGCAATTGGAAGGATAGGCTGAATAATTATTTCCCAGTTGACATTGTGCCATAATCCATTATCTCCTTTCTCTGACTCCCTTTGGAATGAAGATTGGACAAAGTTTTAACGTTGTCAATCATAAGTTATGATTTCCCCAAATTCCATATCATACAGATGGAACTTCTAAGTTGTTCCAGCCCCTGGACAAGTTACCCTCCCACCCTCCCAGGAAGAAAGAGAGCTCAATTAGTGACCAACCCACAGAAGTTTTTTTCCATGGCGCTTCTAATTTATTCCAGTCTCTTTACTGCAGGTGTGTGCCCATTGTACCTCCCGCCCCAAAGTTCAGGTAATGAGATTGCATAGTGTTCATGAAGGTTAAGGCCATGAACTTGAATCCTGTATGTGTTTTAGTCCATTTGATGGCACAATCTCCCCACCTCATCTGGCTGTCTTTCAAAGAAATACCCGTGAATATTTGAGACATTCAAAAGCATGTGACCAAGCCATGCAAATATATCTCACAGGGAAGGCATAACTATCAAAGGAAGCAAGTGCACAGAGCTTCCTAGTCTGGAAGGGAAAATAAGAAGGAGCTCAAAGTGGGAATAACTCATCCCATGTGTGTTTCCGTGTGTCACAATTCAGGGAAATCTGTTCTGGGTGTGGAAGGTCTAGGGGCTGGGCTGAGACTTTCAGCAGATCATCCCTCAATAAAAACAAATAAGAGATACACCACTCCAGTTTCAGAATTGTGAGAACTTCATTATTTTCCCAAAAAAATTTACATATTGAAGAAACTTGTAAAACAAATTGACCTATAGAAATAACCTCACTAGTTACCGAAATTCAGCTGACATCCGGTGATAATAAAATCCAATTGCACTGACAAAGTCAATTTAAAATGTGTTGTGAGTGTTCAGGAGGACTTTCAAAGTTCACTTGATGTAGAGCAACTGTTATATATGCAAGAATTCATTACTGTGTACATGTAGGAGTACCAACAACTCAAAAAACACCGTAGAAATTTTCTAATCTATCATTTTTGTGGTGTTGGCCAAGTCGAGGTTGACTTGTTAGTTTTCTGTTATTGTGTTACTTGTTTTAGATATTTTTATCCATAACTGAAAGATTACTGTTGTACTCATTGCAACAGAGCTGACAACTCCCTTCTAGTATATTCATATAAATTCACCCTTGAAAATGTGCAAATTGCATATGAATATTCTTGGAAATTTCTTCTAAAGTTACCTGTGTTCCGTAAACACCAGCACTGGAATATGGCATTCCTAGGTAGTGGGGTATGCAGAAGCATGCTGTAGGTATAAGATCTTGGGTTTGGAACCATGTGGCCATGGGTCTGGGACTCAGCCTCCCGTGGGTAGCTGTGTGATCTGAATAAGCCCTTGGCCCCCTAAAACTGGAGTTCTCCTTTCTTGTAGTGAGAGAGAAGATGAAATGAAATATGCCATGCCAGGGATACTCGAGTTTATTGTACTAGGAAGGATCTGTGTGGGTCATCCAGTCATTGAGTCATGAAATTTTGCAAATGAGAACTCAGGATTCAGAAGAGCAAAGGCTTGACTGCACTCAAGTGGGCAGCAAACCTAGGGGACAGCACATTCCTTGTCTCTGCACATCCCACCCTGGAGGACCCCTGTGGTACGCACTGACTCTGTTTCTTCAGGCTGAAGTCAAGTAGTGCTATGGTCACATGTGAGCATGGGTGGGGACCCAGGAAGCCTGCTAGCCTGCTAAGCCTTTGGACCCTCCTCTCTTTAGGGGTAGGTTTTACTCATACATCTAAGTGAAAAACAGGTTTGCCTCATTCATGTTAGGGTCTTTATGTCCTGTGCTACTACTGTCTTTGAAAATAGTATCTGGGGAAGACAGAGCTGGTCCATCATTGGCTGAATATCTGTAGGTGGTCTGGGGTGACCCTGACAGCACGCACACGGGGTGGTGTTGCTATTCTCACTGTGTGAACACAAGCCCCAGCTCACATGGGCTAAGCAACCCGTCCTCATGGGCACAGACAGGAGCACCAGCCTCACAACTTGAGCCCAGATCTGTCTAACTCTTCAGGCAAAGCCACTTCAACTATTTCAGTAGCAAAGGCACAAGATATATCCCATGCTCCTGGGGAGAAAAAAACCCTCTTTTACAAAGTAGGCAGCATTGTTACAAAGCTGAGAGAAACCAGCACCCTGTCACAGATCTGTCAGGTTCAAAAGCCAGCTCACATTGTGTCCTTAGGACCCCAGTGGCAGCCCGGGAGGGGTTTGGGAACACGGAAAGTTGGTTTGCAGCTTGCACGACATCCCTGGAAACCAACGTGTGCGAGGCACGTAGGCACCTCTGCCGGCGGGGCTCCTCTTTTTCTGAAGAATAATTAATAAATATTTTCTTTTAGCATATAACAAACAGTTGAACCAAACAATTATGTAAACTGGAAGTGACCCAAAATGCTAGCAGTTGGCAGCCACACAGGGAAACGCATTGTCACGCACATGTGTGTGTTTGTCGCTCCTGCCTCTCTGGTGATCTGCACTTAATAGGAATATTTTAAACTATGTAGCTAAGCAACAGAGGTAATTGTTGCTTTCTAGAGCTTTTGTTAGCACTCTAACACAGCCCAAATATGCATAATTAGGTATAATGTCTATAAATCATTATTGTACACATGTGGGTAGTTAAGTGGAGTGAGAGAATAGTTGAATGAATTGAGCATATTCACTGAAAATGCTTTTTATTTGTTTTCTGTAGTTCATAATACTTTAAAATTATCATAACCCTTTACACTTTCTCTCAATAGCCAACTGTGATACTGAGCAAAACTTCATTTGCATTTTAGACTATGTTTAATATATTATTTAAACCTGTAGTTCCTCTGATACGAATTCAGGAGCGGAGGGGTCCAGCCCATCAAATATTATGCGCCTGTTTATCTAGCCTCTCTTCTAGGAACTAAAATGTTAAATTTTTCAGTTTTCGTTGAATAGATCCCAACAAAAGACTGCACCCTATAATCAGCATTATTTACAGGGGCCAGTGTTGTGGCTCAATTCTTCCTTTCGTCCAAAAATGCTTTTAGTTACTATGGCAATATTTACTTGATCCTGGCAGTCCAGTGTTGATTTAGGGAGATAATTACCAGAAAGGAAGATGATGGAGATGTATTTTTGAGTGTCCTTGTCAGAGACAATGTTTATAAAAAATTAAATGAGACAAAAAAAGGCACACTGTCTTCCCCGCAAACACCCTCTCCCGGAGCTGTGCTTTTCTTCTCTCTGAAGATGTTTATTAGCACAGAATGTGCTTCGCTTGGTGTCTTTAACACTCTTTAAGGAGATTTATTATTTTGTTTCCCATCCCCACTCTCTGCCTTTGAAAGACAAAAATGGTCTCCCCGCCGCCTTTTCGTCCTACTGGGTATCGGAGGACCATAGCTTCGTTGTCCGGTGCGTTGTGCAGCCTGGTGTGTGCTGGGCAGGCCTCATGTACCTGTGCCGGGGCTGGGGTCACCAGCCCATCTGCACCTTCCGCATTGTTTCAAAGGAACGGGCCTGGGTCAGCTGACTGCGTTTATCTAGATAAACAGCCTGGTTCTCACTGAGAGAAGGGGTAACACTGACAGCTACCCAGGGTGGCAGTTGTGCCACTGCCTGCCCTGCGCACACTGAAACCCCAGGCTTGCTTTTTTGATGTTCAGGACCCAAATCATCACTGTGCGGAGCCCCAGCTCCCACTCAACATTCTCTAACCGTCCCCACCTCTTGTCTGATTTCCTTTTTACACAATTGCATGGAACATCAGATTAGACACTGATACGGTTTGAGATAGGATCATGGTAATTGTCCCATTTGTGTTTGCCTCCATATGGGCTTTTTGTGTGAGGATTACACAAGTATTTTCGTTTTGTTTTGTTGGATTTTGGTGGTAGTAGGGTTTGAACTCAGGGTTTCTGCATTGAGCTACATCCTCAGCTCATTTTCTTCTTTCTGTTTCTTTCTTTCTTTCTTTCTTTCTTCTTTCCTTTCTTTCTCCCCTTCTGTTCTGTTGTTCTGTTCTGTTCCCTTCCCTTCCCTTTTTCCCTTCCTTGCCCTTCGCTTCCCTTCCCTTCCTCTCTCTTTATCTCTCTGTCTCTGTCTCTGTCTCTGTCTCTGTCTGTGTCTCTCTCTCTCTCTCTCTCTCTCTCTCTCTCTCTCTCTCCTTCATTAGTTATTAGTTTTGTTTTCACACAGTTTGTTTACCAAGTCTGAGCTGCCCAGGCTGGCCTCAACTTGTGGTCTTCTTGCCTCGGCCTCCCAAAGTACTGGGAACCAAGAAGTTTTGAAGCTTATGAATTCCTTTGGTTGTCATCTCTATATATGCATATTTTGTATTTTAGGTAATATTCCATAAAATCTAAGAGTATAGCTGAGAAACTACGAAGAACATAAAACCTTCAAAAATATATTTTTAACGAGAAATCTGATTGAATTTTTTTTTACATAATATATAACCATTTTCCTTTTGGTTGGCTAAGGTGTGGAAATAAGAGTTATAATAACAATAATTTAACATTCAGTACTATAATATTATTAAACATTGACTTTTGGTCAGTGCCCCAGGAATGTTTAGTTCTTGATATGCTGAAAATTATAACAGATCATATATTTTTTTGAGACAGGGTCTCTCTATGCAGTTCACATTGACCTTGAGCTCACTTTGTAGCCCAGGCTGGTCTCAAACTCGCAACGATCCTCCTGCTTCAGCCTCCCAAGTGCTGGGATTACAGGCGTGAGTCACCACGCTCGGCAATAGATGGTATTTTTAAAGGAATTTTTCAGCACTAAATTTTCTTTTAAGACTACATATATTTTTTCATCAATGTTTCTAAAATTAATAGACACCACACTATGTATATTGGTGCTACTGAAATATTTAAATATTGGGTATGTAAATTTGAAAAATTGCTGACAATAAAAGACACATTGCCTTTCGTCTCCTGCAAAGTCCTCTTCCCTACTTTGAACATGCTTATCCCACTTTTCTGGCCACTTTCTGAAGCAGTCCTGGAGTCCTCTTTTGTGAGGGTCCTTATGTGGTGTGCAGTGAATGTGGCTGTTGAGTAGCACTCAACAGAAAAGCAGCTTGCAAAAAGCACTATTGAGAGTGTTCCTCCCCACCTTGTTCGCCAGCTCTCACAGTGCAACTCCTGACTCCTCCTCAAAGTGAAATGTAAATGTTTCGAATTGATTCAAGACACTAAGACAGCCATGATAGGACCAACTAAAGATACTTATGAAAAAGGACTTCCCGAAGTGGCAAAAGCAATGGGATAAGTATTCTGGGGGAAGCATTCTGAGAGAAATCAGCGGCAACGCATGCTTTAGTGTAATAAAATATTAAAATTTAAACATTTGCTGAAAATTTTCAAAATGCCTTGTATATGCATATGTATGTGAATATATACATTCAGATATGTGTGTATATATGTAATAGTATAATTTCCTTAAAATATTTTTATTATTGTTTTTTAAATATTGTAGAAGAAATCTTGATAAAACCTGCAGATGAGAACCTTAAGTCAAATGCACAAGAAAACTCCCATCAGAAAGAAGACCAGTACACTTGCTATCAAGAGCTCGTGGTCAAATCTTTGACGCACTTGGGGAAATTTGAAAAGAATGTGTCTGTTCAGACTATAAATGAAACTTTGAATGACAGTGGCATCCAGTCTTTAAAAGCAGAGAGCGAGGAAGCCGATGGATGCTTTCTGATCCATTCAGATGATGGAAGAGACAAAGCAGACGAGTCTCAGCCGCTGTTCTGCTCCTCGGATGACAGCGAAAGTAACTCTGACAGCGCAGAGACTGGGTGGGACAGTGGTTCCAACCTGTCCGAGGACAGCAAGCCCCACGGAGGCCCTGAGTACATGGCGGAGGATAATCAGAAAGACCTGTTGGAAGTTCCTGAGATAAAAACAGAAGATGATGGATTTGCTCCTTGTGAAAACAGGTGTGACTCCAACACAGAGAGGAGAGACCCACAGAATGTCCATGGGGAGGCCCTGGACAGCCACCCCCAGCCTCCTTTCCCTGAGATGGCAGAGGGTGAGGGCGAGAGCCTGGTTACAGTGACAGAAGAATCCAGTGAGCTTGAGAAAGCCAAGGGGAACTTAAATTTGCTGGAGCAGGCCATCGCTCTGCAGGCCGGCCGAGGCTGCCTTTTCCACAGCACCTACAAAGAGCTGGACAGGTTTCTGCTGGAGCACCTGGCGGGGGAAAGGAGACAAACCAAAGTTCTTGACATGGCTGGAAGACAAATCTTTAACAATAAACGTAAGATACATTTTTACATTCATTTTAGAACTGAGATTGCTTTCGGACTTGCAGAAAAGTTAGTTTTGATTACTCCTTCCAGATAGCTTTTTAACAATTTAATTAAATCTAAAAATTCTGAAATGAACACCTTCTCTTTCTTCCCAATTTGTAGAGTATTATCAGATTATGCTGTTTGCAGTGTCTTTCCACATGAAAAATACTCATGACATCTATTTTTTTGATCTGATTTTTAAAGATACCTCATAGCTTTTAAAAGTACTGCACTGTATTAGACATTGTTAGAATTACCATAATAGTTTTTGGATTTCAAATCATTCTATTAGCCAAATCAATTCCAGAAGTTTAATTTTTCTTTCTTGCCTTTGTTATATGGTCATCCGACTTTTTTTCTCCAGAGCTTTAAAATGATATCAAGCCAAGCATCCTCCTTGAAATTAAGCCAGGCATCAATGTGTTTATTTATAAGTCTGTATTTCTATCAGTTCTTTAACTCAGGGTCCATAAATATCCAGGTCAATTAACAAGAGTGAATGTGCTCTGAGGACACTTTAACATTGTTCCTCAGACTTTAAGAAAATATTGTCCCCTTCCTCCATGAAGTGTTCTACCCATTTTCATACCAGAGTTTCACACCAGAAGAGCCTGACGATTACATGCTATGTAAGTTCCTAGAAGTCTCATTGAAGGTGAGTACTTCAGGTTCCAATCAGATTCAGAGCTCGAAAGTTTGCATTTTCTTTTAGCATGTTCTCAGGTGATGCTTGGACACCCAGGAATCTGCGAGCCACAGAATCCCTTAGAGAAAATCAAGGTCATATAGCTGCAGGTCTTAAAAGAACAACATGTCAGTATGGTTTAGCAGTTCTGATTGTTTAGATTTATCCAGAAACAATTGATATATTTTGTCATTGTAAATCTATTTTAGCGCTCACCGGCAATCTTCACATATAATGTCTTGCAAAGCTGAGGAAACAGAGACTAAAATAACACGAAGTACTGAGCAGCACAGTAAGAAAGCTATGCAACCATCTTTAGGGTTGGGAGAGGAAAAGAGTATTAATAGATAAAGTGTGGTTTGGGACAGGACTTTGTAGTTAGTTTCGTGCACTCTTATTAATATGTAATTTCTTGAGTTCAGCTGTTTCTTTTTTAGTGAATTATAAAATCTGGAAAAATATGATTTACTCCAAATACCCAAATGTATAGTTTCTAATGTACTATATTTCCTTGGTTCTAAGAGATACCGTTCCTCTAGTTCAACATCTCTGAACTTAGAAAAGTATGCAGCTCTTTTTCAGTAGATTTTTCTATCCTAACCGCATATGGAATGTTTTGTCTTGTGATTGTTATCTTATAATCAATGAAATCCAAGATATGTGGAAACTTTAAGCAATAGCTTAAAATACTTGAGGATACTTGGATTGTTTTTATGAAAACTTTGGAACTTTTTTTGATCTCAAAATTTTTAGAAGGCCAAAGAATCTTTATTTGTGAATTTCGGGTCACTTAGAGACAGAACTACTTCAGGACTGAATGAGTGGACAGAGTGTCCTGTGGAACAGGACACGGTCCTACTCTGGGCTGTTAAATGCTTCTGCAGGAGATCAGAACCAGGCTCATATAAAACAGGCAAAAATGTCAAACCCACACTGCAAAGAACTGTAGTCTTAGTGGAGGATGCCTGGAGCGTCTAAATTAAGTATCCTCTTCTCTATTCCTTGTCCTGGATGTGGGAACCAACAAGGTATTTTTTTACTCTCAGATGAATTTCACGTTCAAACGTGGACACTCACACCTACTGACCTCTCTCTTCTTGTAAATAGCTTCATGACACTGTGTACACTCTGAACATTTGATTCTGCTATTAAGGAGAGAACATGGGGACTTCTTCCCCAGCAACACTAGGATCTGGGCACAGGCTTCCACATACTAAGTAAATGCTGAGCCACTGAACTATGTTCCCAGTTCACTTTATTTTAGGCCACAGTCTCACTAAGTTATCTTGGAATCCTCCTCACCTCAGGCCCACTCCCTACCAAAGACCTAAAGAAGCCCAGCATTCCAAAATAGCATTTTACTCATGATTTTAGATAAGTCAACTGTTTTACAAAATGTTTGGTTATGCTATTGCTATTCAGCATTTAGAGACTTCAGGGCCCAGGGTCTCTAGAGTCATCGTGTAATTTATTGCCCAACCTGTGATACTTTTGAAGCAAAGAGGAGCAAGATGAAGAATGCCACAAGCATATCAGGTGTGAGAGAGAACAGTCTCAGGCAAACTAGGATGTTCCATCACCAGAGTAGAAGGTCACCCTCATTGTGCACCATGGTACAAAGAACATGGAAGAGGAGACAGGTTGAGAGTGCCCCTGAGCTCCCACTCTGGCTTCTTATCATGCAAACAGGTTCTGCCCTCCAGAGCATTCCATCTGCATCTTTGTTTTGCCCAGTGAGAAGAGACTTGCAGACAAAGGTGTGTGCTGGACTCTCAGTGGGCCCCACCTGGGCAGGCGCCAACCTGCGTTATCTCCAACGCCCTCTCTGGCTTCCCACAGACAGTGTGGTGAGGAGCGGAAACACTCCGAGCCAAGCCTTTCAATGTGGTTTAGAAACACAGCCTCACCTGGATAAGATCCAAGAAAGAAGGCATCAAAATACATGGTTACTGCTCTTCTGCCTGCAAGCAGGAGTCCGTGATGGGGTCAACACTTCGTTCACTTTAATTGAAATTCAAGAATTTTTACAGATTCTGTGTGCCCAAATCAACTTGAAATTTAGCGCTATGCTTGGGTTAAATGAGACAGGCATGCACAAAGTCCTACCACATCACAAACTCTTGATATGCTCTTCTGTCTCTTACAAAACAGAGAGAATAATCTGGACATCAATCATGGTATTTAGATCCTGTCTCTTAACACAAGTACCTGCATCTCCATCTTTGGGTACTGGCTGCTCACTTACAGGTCACTGCTTTCTGTCTCCTGACCCTTCCTGGACTGGTACTACGTGCTGCAATTTGAGGACTCCTTGGCTCCTCCCCCTTTTGCTGAAACCATGCCCCCATATAATTGCATTACATACAACCCGCTGTGCCCATCTGTCTAGGACTATGCATCCAACAACTGGATGACATGGTATGATATCTGCTCTCACAATGTGCTTACTCCCTGAAGACTGCCACATCCTGCCATGGTGTCCTACTCTGGGTGACCAGCTATGCATCCACAGGGCAGGACCCTTCCAGGGACTGGGCTGCCAGCAGTGCCTTGGGCAGGATCATGTGATTATTTTCACGTTCAGTATCAAGTATGCTCCTTAGTCCTGTTGCTTTGAGTTCTGAGAATTCTGTGGCTCTCCTGCATGCTTGTTCGCTTCTCAGGGCTCACATACTCCTTATGTTTTCCTTCTAAACCCCTGTGAGCTAAGGGACAAAGTCCCCTATGATTAGTATCATCCCAAGCATGCGTTAGAAGACCGTTTTGGCTGGAAGAAGAAATGAACTTCTGTTTTCTCTACCATCTCACTCACAGACATATAGTCGTGTAGCTAAGGCTTTGCCTGCATGAGTTCCGATCTCGTCAGTTTTCCCATTGTGCATGCATTTGTGTTATGTTCTTATGGAACTCATTTTCTAACCAAAACATTAAAACTCTTGAGCTTGTCTCCAGCCATGCCTCTCCGGCTCCTGCCCATGGCAGCCAGGACCAGATGTGTTCCTAGGTGGTGCACCCGTGAGCCCTCCCTGTCCTCCCCTTTCTGTACGGTCACCTTCTGAAAGTCCCCTCCAGAGCGTTTCTGTCACACGTCTTGTTACTGCTTCAGTGTTCAGATTCTGCAGTCAGTGCGATTTACAACTCCTTCCCTGTCGTCCTAAGTGGCAGCTCACTGGGGCTCGGGAAAACTGGGACTTAAAAGCCCTTGGGGAAGCAGACACAGGTCTGTCCTGCCTTGTCCTGGAAGCGGTCTTCTCTGCTTGTGAGTGAGAGGAAGTGAACCTAGGACATCTGTTGCAGGGCTCACAGGGACAAGGCCAGCCAGGTCTTTTTGTCTTGTAATTTTGAATCTGGCTTTTTCTAGACTTTCAGAAGATGATTTAAGTTTAAATAAATTCTTTCTTCTGTGTCACTTTTCTTTCACTTTTTTTCCTTTTCTTTTCAGAAGGCTGTTCATCCTCTGGAGTAGGGGCGATCCTTTTCATAATGAGGCTTTAACTAGAGGACGTGACATGACAACTTAAAACCATCTCTGTTTCAGCAGTCCCTTGCCCTGTGTCAGCCTTTGCTTAGGAAATCAAGAAAATTGAAAACATGTTTTGTGTTTCCGTAGGTCTTAGTTGAGGGTCTTATTCAAGGCAATATGAGAAGGATGTTTATAATGAATACAGTGAGAATGTTACCCTGCAAGGCCACTCTGTTGAATAGGAAGGAAGGGAAGAACAATCACATGCATTTCTCAATTTGATTTCTCTGTAGATTCACCGCGGCCTGAAAAGAGGGAGACCAAGTGCCCCATCCCTGGGTGCGATGGCACAGGGCATGTGACGGGGCTCTACCCCCACCACCGTAGCCTTTCGGGGTGCCCTCACAAAGTGCGGGTTCCCTTGGAAAGTGAGTACCGCTTATCCCTACAGATGTAGACCCCAGAACATCACAACATTAGCCTCTTTCTTTTCCAGTTTAGAATTAGAAATGGAAGCAAATTTTTCTCTGTGTGTCAAACAATTTCTAGGTTGTTGTGTGTTTTTAATGTAGCAAATGAGTAGAAGATGTGAGTGTAAAAATAGATCAAGAAACAGTAGCCATTGAAAAACCAGTTTTTTCCATAATCCCTAAGAGGAGGGATCTCCCCATGCCATGAAGGTGTGTCTGGGAGCCCCAGGGTTGCTCGGGAGGGAGGGGCTGGAGGAGCTGTGAGCAGAAACCTTTAGTGTGGCTTTTGTGTAAAAGAACAGGCAGAGCAGAGCAAGCACTCTGAGCACTGTCCATCCTATTCTGTGGGCCTTGGGACCTGGCACTGTCCCTGGCTGTCTCACCCCTGGTCCTGGGTGATTGGTGAAGGCGCAGTAAACCGGCATGTGAAAGCTTATGAGGAAGGAAGTGGGCATTTTAAGCATGTGAGCAGACTGTGCCACAGGAGCTGGCCTGGCCTCGGAGGGCAGCCTTTGCTCTATGCCCAGATGGCAAAGCACCAGAACACAGAACTAAGACATGACTGCCACACTGTGTCACTGTACAGTGTCTCCTCTCTCTCCCCAACCTGAGATCTTACCTCCAAAAGCCCAGGACCTGTCTGGGCCTCCGTGTAGTCCTGGGAGGTCACAGTGTCTGTCCACCTGGTCTCCCCTTGCTGTGGGTACACACGCTCCATGGTGTTACCTCAGGACATCTTGTTGCAGTTGAGGGTCCTCAACAAGGTAGCTGTGACCCACCTCCCCCCCACAGCCCTGCTGTAAATCAGGATTCTGGAAGTGGAAGTTTCCTTCTAAGCCTTGGAGAGTAGCAATGCATTTCAGACTTTTTGAATATATTTATGGAGACCTCTGGAGTTACACAAACTAGCTGAAGCAGAGACACCTTAGCCCCTTAACCTTCTCAGTATCAAGATTTGGAAGGTCACTACATTTAACTGTGCTTCTATGTTCCTGACTTAATGGTCCTTGGACCGATCCTCCGATGGCTCACAACCGTACTCTTGGCAGTAACCACAGGCAATGGAGGGTCGATGGACAAAGAACCAAAATAGCATCACTTAGGAAATAAAATAGACTAGATGTAGTGATAGGAAAGAGCTAGAAAGAGCTATTTGACAAAGGATGTCCTCCATTCATTCCCCCCAGGAAAAGCATAAAAATATGAAAGAAAGGTGATGAACGTATAATTTAGGTGAAATATAAGCAAAACAGTCTTATTCTAGACTTAAATACAACATGGAGCTCAGGACAATTAAAATGTGAATGAGCTTGCTGGATTTAATTTCTGAAATTCTTGTGTGCCTTATTGTTTTCAATCCAAATCTACCTTGGAGGGAGTATGGTGGATTATGTAATGAAAGTCGTTTTGATGCAGAACTGAGAGGTAAATTTGTTGAACTGTTATGCATCTGTGGTAAATCATTCTTTCCTTCCTGTGATGTTTTGTGCCTAGTTCTCGCCATGCATGAAAACGTGCTTAAGTGTCCCACCCCGGGGTGCACAGGACGGGGACATGTGAACAGCAACCGCAACACTCACAGGAGGTAATGCTGGGGATGTGTTCAGCAGTTTACCTTACGAAGAGGGAGAGAAACTTTCTACCATCAAACAATAACTCCGTGTAGTGCGAATTGTGTATCCTCATCAAATGCCTTACCACTAGAAATAGATAAGAAACATTTTCAGCCTGTGAAGAGTTTTTTAAAAAGGGAAATTAGTTCATTATTTTCTCTCCTAGAAATGTTTGTATTGGCAGCCATTTGAAATGAAATGTTATGCCTGAAGATGCTGTGGTTCTCTGTTCCTATAACCAGATGAACAGAGTGTGTTTTTTCTGCTCTAGAATCTCACCATGGCTGTTTTGACAAAGAAGAGAATTTCTGATGGGTTATCTTTAACACAACAGGCTGAAAATGGTATTCGGAGGACTTCAGTCTTCAGTGGTTTTAAGTGTTAACTAAACGTCAAGGTGACATCATTTCACTGAGATTACAACTAAGATAAAGAATATATATGTGCATTTATATGCAAATGTACTATGTATGTATAAGTGTTTTGGTGGAAAGTGGACTGTTTCCTGTGCACATTTTATACCTTATATAGATTATGTAAGGTACTACTTAATTTATAAACATATTGTCAGAAAACTTAATATCTCACACTTCCTATTTAAGATATGAAATTCAGTCTTTAAGATTTTGCTAAAGAACCTAAGATAAATAATAGATTTACCATGCTAAATACTTTCATTGGACAAATTAAACTCAAATGAGCACATTTTCCCTAATGTATTGTTTCAAAATCCTTTACATAGTATTTTTATTTTTAAATGGATTTATCTTTCATCCTGAGCCGGAGATGGGGGTAGGCGCTGACACTGCCGCTTGTGCCTCTTTGGGGTCTTTTAGTATGGGCACGGTGCTAAGCGAACTATTAATATGACTTAACATTTAATGTGTGCCAAGTGCACTACAAGCCCGTGCCAAAGCCAATCACATCCTCATTTTAAATCTCATCCTCCTGCTTTTCTTTTTTGAAACAGTCTTTCTGGTTGTCCAATTGCTGCAGCTGAAAAACTGGCCATGTCCCAAGATAAAAATCAGCTTGATTCTTCCCAAACCGGGCAATGTCCTGACCAGGCCCACAGGTATGAATTCCCAGGAGGTTCTGGCTGATCTGCTCATGTCACGATGTTACCCAGCAGGGCCTCACATCCTCTGTGTCGCTTCCCTGTGGCCTGATTTCACTCTCAACCACCAGTGGACCTGTGTGGACAGCCCACAGGAGAGGCTGGTTTATGAATACTTCCTTTACATGAACTATGAGACATCCCAGAAAGCTAATGTGAAAGTCCTCCATTCACAAAGGTAACATGAAATGGGGGAATCTAAGATGAATAAAGCATACAATAATGTATAGTAATTAAAATTCTATGTCATTAATACACACCACAAGTTAGATGAATTATGAATGACTGCATCTTCTTTGCCTGCAGAAAATGCTGTCATAAACTACTCAGACTTACTATGTATTCATTCTTTAGTTCCACATATAAATATAACTTTCTTTACACAAACATTCATTCCATAACAGTTGCTATTTAAATATCTCCCATTGGTCTTATAGCTACCAGGTCCTTCATGGGAGACCTTACATCTAAATAATATAGTATGGATGATAATTCACATGATGGTATATTCTATGAATATATTCTATTCCACAGAGGTCATATTTGTAGGAAAAGTGATTTCAGGATTTAAAAGATGATTAGATGCTATGTGAATCAATATGGTGTGAATCAGCTTCCTTAAATATTTTGCTTCTATAGATTTAAAGAGTCAAAATTAGCCTGAGTAAACTGAAGTAAAAGACATTTATCAAATGAGTAAAAAACATGTATCAAATGAAAACCATGAATTACTGAGTAACAATTAGAAATCTTAAAATGGAATACATGGTTAATATTAACTGCATGCACTAATTTTCCCTAAAATTATTTACCAAATATAGAAATAACATTGTTTCAATTTGAACATATCTTAATCTATTTTGTTCTTTTAGATTAGAATGTTTATGCCACTTTGGGGTTATATATATATATATATATATATATAAAATCCCTCAGATATTTTTCAGTAGCAGTTAAATTCTTTCATCTAGCCAAAATAATTGTTAAACCTGTCATTCTGATGAGTTGGGACAGTTTTGGAAAGTAGGGGAAAAATTACTTTTTATATCACTAAATTTTCAAAGATTAGGCCATAGCAAAAGAAAAAAAAAATTGGCCAGAGCTGATGCCGCACCTTTAGGATACCCTTGTTTAATCCAAATCCAATAATTCTACAGGAATACTTAACTCACATTTATCGTGGGAAGGAGTAATTATATTGAAAAATGCAGCAAATATAGTAAGCTGATTCATATTAGAATGATGCAATTTAATAGATCAAAAAATTGAAATGCTATTAAAATAGTACTTAAATCAGCAAAGAACATCCAGCCTGATGGTGGGATAAATGGAGAAAAGCCCAAGAAGAAACTCACAGTTCAGAAATCAAGTCTTCTGGCATCTGCGCTGCTCCTGTGATACATTAAGCACAACTGTGACTATTCACTGAGAATTTGATTAACAATTTTACTAGGTAGGACATAGATACCTTATCAGTGCCTTAATTCACATCTACTGATAGTGACATCTGCATGAGGAGAATGGAGGGTTCCATTTTCCTGTTTACCATTGGCAAATTGGGTCAGAATTTGCAGCTGTGTCACCATCAGGGAGCCCCGACTCTTGTTCCTGCACAGTGTCTCTGTGCATCCCCACAGGCAGTGACAATTTCTCTACCGTGAACCTGACACTGATATGCTCACCAACAGTTTCAATGTCTTTCTAAATTTGAACTACTTCTCCCGTCTCTCCAGGACAAGCTTGGTGAAGCAAATTGAATTCAATTTCCGATCACAAGCCATCACTTCACCCAGAGCCACAGTGTCAAAAGAACAAGAGAAGTTCGGAAAAGTACCATTTGATTATGCCAGTTTTGATGCCCAAGTTTTTGGTAAACGTCCCCTTGTACAAACAGGGCAAGGTCGAAAAACACCACCATTCCCTGAACGTAAGCTTCAAATTCAAATTCTAATACTTGCTAGCCAAAAATGTATCTTAAGTACGTTACTTACAGATGACAGGGGGCAATGTATACTGAGTAGTGTGGTAAAAAAGGAAGCAATACTTGGACCACTGTTACTCAGTGTATTCTGGACTTTTACTGAATAGAGGGAATAATAAGTGGATTATTGTGCAAATACAGTAAATATAGCGTCATCTTAGTCTAAATACAAGAATTCTAAAGATACTGGATGGGATTAATATATTGAAAAATTATATTATAATTATTTTTATTCATGTTGAAATTATAGAAACCTAATAGATAAAAATGTGAAAATACTATTTAGACCATTACTTAAATCACCAAAAAGCATTTGGGGGAAAGATAAAAAATCTAAGAAATATAATTCAGAAATCAAGATTTCCTAGAAAAATAATATATGTAGTAGTTGAAAAGTTTACTTACGAATTTAAAAATTAATATAGAAATGCTTCAAGTGGATTAATACTCTTTAATTATATCCATATAAAAGAAAACCTAACAAAGATGATATAATCTATAAAACTTGGTGTGTTTATATACACACTTTTTAAGTTGTTTAGAATTCTTAAATACTCTGATGAAAAAGTGAGAAAGGGAGCATTCTGGAAAAAACACAGGAAATGATTCCTGAAGGAGAGAAACCTAACTTCCATGGTGGAAGAAGCTAAATAATAATCACCTAGAATCCTCCATACACAAGTTTTTCTTTACCATGTTGCAAACATAGAATCGCAAGCTTCCTAGGTTTAGTACTCTTTATGAACGTGCTTCATTATGTCAAGTTGATTCACACTTTCAGAGAACTAGAAAACTGCATAAAACCCAACAGTGGGCCAGGGTTTAAGTGCGCTCAGTGGTAGAATGCCCGCCTTGCATACTCAAAGCCTTGGTTCAGTCCCCAGCGCTGGCGGGCGGTGAGGGGTGATATATTTAATAAACAGATTTAAAAGAGTTTTTCTATCAGTGAACAGTATTTTCTGAAAGTTATTTTATTTTTGCCAAAAACATGTAGTCTCTAACATAACTAACCACTGACCACTTCTTAGAAAAAATTATATACACACCATGTTTTGTTATTTATGTGGTTACATATATTATATGTACACAGTATATAGCCATATAGACATCTTTAACTCAGGAAAAGCTAGCATTCTGTACACTCAGATAGTGTCAATATTGATTTTATCAACTGCAAAATATTTGATGAATCTTTATGTTCTTATAATATAGGAAGAACATTTGCTGATATTTTATATTTTGCTTTTTGAAAAGTAATCAAATATTTAAAATAAATAATAATGCAAAGCAAATAGCTATGTATCAGCCCTCATTAAATCTTGGGTGCTTTTCCCATAACCTTGAGTGACGTTTATGAACACCACACAGCAAAGAGAAATGTGTGTAACTCTCTCTCTCAGCAATGCCTTGGTAACCCATGATAGAAACACAAAATGAAAACTCAGCCTTGATAACCAAATTGCCTTTCTGCTCACCTTGAGAACATTTCTTTTCTGTCCTTTGCTTATCTCACTCTCCCTGAATATGCAAAATGCCAGCTCATTAAAGTCTCCACCATCTATTCAGTTCCATCTATTTGGATGGAAAACAACTTCTACTACTTAAGTTCAGAACAAACCTGCATATCAAATAACAATATAATTACATGTCGAAGTATAAATCGTTATTCAGAAAACAAATACTGGAAGGATGCATTTTTTTCTGTACCAGCACTGAGTCCTACACATAGTTTTTATGCATATGTGCCTCATGATAGGTTTTGCTTATGTGTTTTCTTATCTGCAATTTTTTTGCCACAACTGTTGTCAGTGCCCCTGTGCCATAACATTAGTTGTGGAGTTTATGTCATAAGAAGCATAAATACAAAAAAATATTAGGAGAACTGGCATTCTGTCTCACCAATGACATTATTTGATCTGTGAACCTTGGTTAAAACCTATCTGAATAACCTTCATTTAACACACCAATGGTTAATGGCTCCTCTTTAATTTATTCTTCCCATATTTGATGCAAGAAGTTATATCTTTAAAAAAACAAATCTATTTAATGAGTAAAACCACATATATGCAATTGCTAATCAAATCTCTCTTCAACAGCAAAGCATTTTTCAAATCCAGTGAAATTTCCTAATCGACTGCCTAGTGCAGGCGCCCACACACAGAGCCCGAGTGGTGCCAGCTCTTATAGCTACGGTCAATGTGGTGAAGACACCCACATAGCAGCAGCTGCTGCCATCCTGAACCTTTCTACCCGCTGCAGGGAAGCCGCAGACATCCTCTCCAACAAACCACAGAGTCTGCATGCCAAGGTAGGCCAGTCCAAGAAGCCGGAGGGTGGGCCAGCGACTGAACCGTGAGAATAAACTGCCTTTCATGTTCCTAACCATGTTCACCAGGACTCTGCACCCCCACCCCATGCCACCCCTGTCCTTAGGACGAAGAGGAGCATTGGCAGGGAAGAAAAGCGTGCATTTCCTGGTCAGGGGCTCTTCTAGGAAGAAGTATAGCAAAGTTGGAGGCAAAGTGAGCCATGGAGGCTAGATGGGAGAATTCACAGATTTACAAGCTAGTTTTTGTTTGGTACACAACAAAAGAAAATTGTTGTTAAAATGAATCTCAACAATGGATGCTTTTCTCTTTCTGCAAACCAAAGATGAAAAGAAATATTTGATTAAACAGGACTGGGAAAACATTCTCAAAATTGACCCATGAAATTTTATTATTGTACATGTGACTGTTCTTTAACATGAAATGGTCTGGGTTGCGGTGCACTGTAAAACCCAAACACATTAAATCAACCAATGGCTCAAGGAGCTTTGAGGGTATGAGTGCTCAAATCCAAAATCAAACTCTGTGCCTGTTACAAAAACACTACATTTCTGAACTGCATAAAAGTAATCACATCATTCCAATAGTTTCTCTTTTCTAACTAGGAGAAGTCCAAATCCATGACTTGATGAACGCACACAAAGACCTCCTTATCTTGTCTTTAACAGGGAGGGACTTTTCATGTTAGAACTCTGTTCGCCCCTTAAGAAGGCTGTCTCTTATGTACACATGGGACTACTGATATGGCTGAAGACAGCTGAAATACAGTGCCCAGATTTATTTGATGGGAGATTTTACCTTCACCTTAAGTGGGAGGTTCCTTGAGCTAAACATGAACCCTGAAGCCCAGGCTGTTAAAGCCCTGCTCCTTTTTCTTCTTTGAGCACAGCCTGCCCCCAGGTAGTCAGCTGCCCATGTGCACCTTGCCAGGCCTTCAGGAGAGCAGGCACGCAGTGTCACTGAGCATTCGACAGAAGAACTGGAATTAGCTCCTGGACAAAGCTGAGCCAAATAAACCCTAGGACGATGTGGTGGCCAAAAACCACTCAAAAACAATTTTTAAACAAATGAGGTTCTTAAACAGAGAAAAACATACCCTCTGAAAATATAAAGAAAATACCATGCTCTTTGAATTCAAGGGAATTCTAGTTACAAATGATTGACAAGGTAAATGAGCTGGGGAATTGTAACATAACTTTATTCTTAAACTGCTATTTTGAATCTAAGTTGCTTCTTTTATAAAGGAGTACTTTACTAGTTGTATCTAGTTATAGAAATATTAAAATATCTAGTATCTAGTTGTAGAAATATTAAAATATCTTCCTGCTTAAATATCTTTTTCATTACTTGATAGTTTGGCCTGTCCTGTGACAATGAATACCAATATTGTGATTATTAATATTAAATTACTCAAAATGGTGCTAAGACAAATGCTCTCCATCTTTTGTAGTTGCCTTTCTGTTCCTCAGATTCTTCTGTTTACTTTAACATGCTCCATATCCCATTAAATTGCAGATGCCAAACAAAGAAGACTAAAGTTTCAAGAATTGCTCTCCTTATCAGTATTTTAAAACATACTTTTGATCATAAAAGTAACTTTAATCAGCACATTTCAAAACCTCAAACAGTAGATTTCTAGTGAATGCCCCACTTCTGGTACTGAAGTGGCTATGTGGGAGGAGGCCTGTGTGGCCAGAGTAAGGGGAGCCTCATGCAGGTGCCAGCCTCCTACAGATGGGACAGAGAACCTTTTAAAAGGATCTGGCTATGCCAGGAGTTTAGAAAACTACTTTCCTATGAAAAGTATCTCCTATGTCATAGTAATTGTTAGAACAAATATGGCCTCTCTGCTGTCTTCCCAGGGCTCTCAGACACGAATGCAATCCCACACAGCTGTAACAGTTTGTAGGATTCTGTCCTGGTTGGATCCTATTTTCTAGATATTATGAGAATCTCCCAAATCTCTGAAACAAACAAAAAAAAAGTTTGTTTTATCAAAAGTAAGAAGAGCCAAGGTAATCCATCCTGCAAATCAGCTTCTGAGCAAGCAGTCCCCCTGCGGGCCTTTTGGGTTGTCCCTGTTGCCCTTGGCACTTTCTCCTTGATGTAGGCTTGAATGTAAACAGTCTTTTCCTCCACACTGAGGGCTGGCCTGAGCCTCTTTCCATTAGATTTCTTTCCATGCCAGATTATTGGTATGTTTATTTCATTTAACCCAGATCTGTAGATCTCTTGAGTTTATCCTTCAGAAATAAGAGTGTAGGAATGCATAATTTTACTGTGCATCATACCTGTGTGGCTGAGAATCTCTCCTCCTTCCTCCCCATTCTTCTCCCTCCCCTCCCTCTTCCTTTCTCTCCCTTCCCCTCCCCCTCCCTCTTTTTCCATCTTTAATTTGGCACTTTAATAGAGGATTGAGCTGCATCTCCAGTCCATTTTGAGTCTGGGTCCAACTAAACTACTCAGGCAGACCTCAAACTTGTGATTGTTCTGTCTCAGCCTTGCTAGTAGTTTGGTTTACAAGCACACACCCAGACAGAGCATTCCTGGTGTGTTAGAGAGGCATCCTGGCAGATGAATTCACAGTAGCTCCAACCAGAAGCTCTCTAAGTGCTGGACTGCCCTAGCCAAAGGGTAGATTTGCTCACAGACTGTGCCTTCAAAGAGCTTAAGGACAAGCAGATGAAGGCAGTGGTTCTCGGGGGGCTATGCCTGCCTTATTTCAGACAAAGTGCTGCATTTGGAGAAGTGAAATGGGTTACCTAGGGCAAGCCAGATAGCTTCAAGGTACATTTTCTCAGAACTTGGGTGATGGAAGATTTCTCATTTATCCTTTGGGCTCATCCAATCTTTTATTCAATAATCATCTTTTCAATTACTTAGAGCACTCAAGAGAAGAATGGATTAAAGGTCTTACTGAGCCATGTGTGGTAGCACATGCCTATAATCCTACCTATTCAGAAGGCTGAGGCAGGAAGATTGAGTTTGAGACCAGCCTGGGCACCTTAGCAAGACTATCTTAAAATAATAATGATAATTACCATACTTTCACATCTTTTGCAAAATCAACTCAAAGCCCACTACACAAGGAGTTGATCTCATGGATACCTGTGAGGTTGAAAACAGATTCTTCTCATGCTATCTGCAGGCACATAACACACTGAGTTTCATGAGATTCACCATTTTTGCAAAATCCCTACTCTAATAATTATGGGAACAGAAATTGTTTTTAGAGGGACAAGGAAACTTTTGAGTTCTGAAACAATCTAAAGTTATCAAAGGCCACATGGATTGTCTGTGTTTTCTTGCCCTTAAAGTTTTCTAGCCCTGCACACTAAGATACTTTGGTGCTCTGGCTGTCCCCAGCACTGAAGGCTCGCGTGGCAGTACACACTGTTACCCATTCATGCAATCAGCACCCACCAAGCACTGACCTGCCTTGTGCTGCATGTCAGGACCTCAGCATTTGACTGACTTGCTCATCAGTACCTAGAGCAGAGCGCTTCACACCCTAGAACGAGAAGACTTAAAACCAAATTATTTACTCATTAAAATATCATCTGGGCTGTGCATAACACACTGGCTTGCTTGGTTTTAAGTACCAAGTCTTTAAGGAACCAAGTCAGGAGAAAATGCTTAATAGATATCGTAAAGATTAAAGGTGATGTCATCTGCAAAGTTAGCTCTCTGGAACCCAGGACTTTTCTTGGCTCTAAGATGTACATAATATCACCATTTTAAATCAGAATTAGCATGAGTTGTGAAATGTAAATGTGCCCCAGATCCAGATGCCTCTCTTTCCATCAGGCTATTGTGACCATGGACAGGAGCGCAGTAGTGAGCAGAGTGACCTCTTGGGTTAGCGAGGGCTTTCCCCTGCGCCTCTGGGCAGCCTGGGCCTGCCTGAGTCAGATGCGCACCCCATGTTTCTCTCTCGCTGCTCCCCTGATCCACAGAGGTAGGAACTCGCTTTGCAGTCTATCTTTATCCTCCTAGCTGCTGCTTGCCAAGCATTCTGTTGTTTGTTTTGGTGTTTTCCCCACCTGTTTAGACAAAATGACATATGCACAGTGTGCCTTAAAAGAAAACAAAAAATTGACACTTGCTTGAAATGTTTAAAGTTCAAAGTCTGTTTTGTGCTTGAACAAGGCCTGGAAACAACATGACTTCGCAGCACTATTCTTGCTGCCTCTTCCCGGGAATACCCCGGTGGCCCTCTGGGTGGTTAGAAGCACAAAGCAGCTTTTCTCGTAAGTTTAACACTGGGATAGATTATCCACGCATTTTAGTGAGATGTGAGGATGCTGCTGAACAGGGGTTACTGATTGCATCATGTAGAGATATTAGATGTCAATACTGGCTCTGTGACCTTGTGTGCAGTGGCCAGGGGCATGTCTCTTTTGGTATTCAAACATCCAGTCACATTATTATTATTATTATTAGCTATCATTTGCTGAATGCCTACTATGTGTCAAGTACTACACATAAGTACTTTGTCCATGCGAATGATTTTTAATCCTTCTGAAAACTTTGTGATATACATAATATTCTTCCATTTTACAGAAGAAGAAATTGCAGTAGACAGATAATGAGTGATTTTCTCTGAGTGGTCTGCTATAATTGAAATCTGAATTCATACCAATCTGAATTCTTCTTAAGACCTTACAGTATACAGACCACCAGCTATACTGTGACCTCAAAACCCAAAGGCTGGGGGAGATGTTTATAAATTTCATGCAAATTTGACATCCTATGTTAGTCAGTTCTCTCCACTCCATCATTCTACTTTATTAAGTAATATTTTTCAGTTTTATTATCTTAATCGTCAATGCTCAATTACATTAACAATGGAATATTTTCATTTCATTTCATTTATTTATATTGCCTGCTTTGAAAACATATTTAGGATAGTTATCAGTACAGAAAAGATTCCACCTCCTCATACAAAACCTGAAAATGAGCTGCCAGAGGAAATTCAGGGCGCCCTGCAGAAACCCAGGTAGAAGGAGCAGGGCTGGTGCTGTGTCTTAACCAACTCAAAGGAGATTTCGGGTGCCCTGTCTGGGCTGAAAGAAGCTTGCCAAGGAAGGAACATGATGCTGTCATGTTCTGTCAGTGTCATGAAAATCAGTAACTTTCATAATCAGAAAACTTAGGGTAAAATAGTCTTATCTTTATGTTATTGTCTTTGTATTTCTAATTTCTAATTGTTAAAACAGGGTAATATTATTGTTTGGAAAGTAATGGAGGAAAGCAGCCATAAGTTTATTCTCTAGATACAATAATTTACGTACTGTCCCTTTTATTTCATTGTACGGATAGTGAAAATGCCATGCTATTATTTCCTACTTTCAGTCGTAAGGAGTTCCCCATATTTTTTCATAGGCATTACTCATGATTATCATTTTACTCCTTACATAATGTGCCATTTAGTAATGTTCCATGTTTTATTAATTCATAGTTTCATTTCTTCATTGTTGGACATTTTAGGTAACTGTTTATTTTATAATACAGATAAAATCATAAGCAAGAACTCTTTCAACTTTGAATTTAATAATACTTTATAATACATTTATTAAATTACTTTTCACTAAAAATCTGTATGCATGAAATAAACTCCTTGATGGCAGGAACCAACCAACTTTTCTACTTTTCCCTCTCTTCAAAATATAATATCATGGACCTATTCAGTGCTTTTTTAATAATTTGATGAATATGTAAGTGGAAGGCAGCGTCTGTAACTTGCAAGTGACTGAAATAAGTGGCATTTGATGCCCATCCTAAGTTGGAAAGAACGCAAATGGTATTAGTGATCCCTAGTCTCAGACAACCTTAAAATTTAAATGTAATTATTTAAAGTAAGGATCCCAAACAACACTTGGAGAAATCAGAGTATTAAGGGGGTGCAAGGATGGAGACCACGCCAGCTGCAGCTCCAGCCTCTCCCCTGCATCCACCTCTCCCACCTCCCTGCTTTTTTGTGCTGCCTTTTGGAGCTTTAAGCACAGAGAAGTGATGCCTATTGCTATGGCTCTGAATAAAAACCCATGCTATAAATGTGTGATCCCCATGCATGGACAGAAAGAGACCCTCCTCGGTTACTGTGTGTAATTGTTGAATGCATCTGTGGCTTACTTAAAGCCCATCTGTACCTCATTCCCCAGTGTGCAGCCCACTTCCCCCCTGAAGTCAGGTGCTCAGAGCAACTGGCTGGGACACGGGGTGTAGAAAAGCACCTCCTTTAAACCTTAGGAGTGATTTTTTTTCAATCAAGCTTTCATTACTCAAGATGTATAATCATAACAACTCCTAGAGTCTCTCATTTTTTACATTTACTATTTAGAATTCTTTTCCTGCAAAAACCAAAATATCTGTGAGTGTCATCTTGGAATTGTTGGTATTTTTCAGAGATCGAATCTGCACTATTTATGGGTTTTGCACTATAAAACTCTGCAGCCTGGTCACATGGCTTCTTTTTCCTAAGCCATCTGTCACAGAGGTCTGGAATTTTATGTGAATGTTGGTTGTGCAGTCTTAACCCAAGTTTTTTTAAAATTTTTTTTATGAAAAATGTCAGCAACTACAATATTTAGCATTTTACTTTACGTTGGCCATTAAACTTGATTACTCTAGCTCTGTTTCATTGCCATAGTTACATATCAGCTATAAAGCCAAAAATTGTTTTGATGCGCTCCTGGCAGAATGCATTGTGAGACCATGGAGGGAGGCAGCATGTGGCACTGATATGGTTAATATCTTGGATTTTTGTAACTAAGGTTTATTAATGCTGGTATAAAAACGTATTTGATATTATACAGATGGCATAAGATGTTGTGGTTACTACGTTATTATCCCGGATAAGCTGTACTGTCAAATTCAGGGCTTAAAACTATCACAGGAGATTAAACTATTTACTAAAAGGGGACAGAAAGATAGAGCCAAAGCATCTTAGTACAACATATTACAAGTGTATTTACTTCCCAGTGAGTATAATGTGGCTGGAAGACTGAGAGCTGGAAAACAGGAACTTTTGCAGGTAAAATAAGCAGACAGAAGAGGTACTTTATTTTTTCAATCAGGCATGTGAGGAGGACTAGCCCAGTGGCTGATGGGAAGAGGGAGTTAAAGTAAGTCCCCTGGGAAGGGACTGGTGTCCGCAGGAGTTAGAGATCTTGCTAACGTATTCAAAGAAGACATCTGCTTTGCCCACCAAAAGGGATAAAGAATAAAGCAATTGTCAAGAAGCTAATTGTGAGGTGATGGATGGTGGTGAAAATACCAGAAAGGTGTTATTTGACCCATTTGGAACAATGACAGGCATGTTCCTCTGTATTTGAGACTTACTGCATGGTAATAATCACAAATCATGACTCTGTACCAGCCGTCCCACGGTGCGGATCTTGAAGAAGATCCAGAGCTTGTGAGCAGCTTATTGTGAGTACTAAAAAAAAATATAAAAAGTTTAGTAAAAGCAATTCCAAGGAGGAACATTGGGAGAATGCATTAGTTTGAAGTCCTATCTTAAGTGTCTGGAAAATAAATACCTTGATTCTGAAGTTTCATTATAAAATTTAAGCCCCAAACACTTAATGCTGTCCGTGAACTACAGACTTTTCTCTCTTTCTCTCTCTCTGCCCTTCGTAATCTAGCAAAGCTTTGCCAGTTCCAATAACCTAGGGTGAAATGTTGCTTTTGCATTAACGTAAAATTCCAATAAAAATTCTCTTCCAGCTGGTATGTTTGCATATTTCCCATGTTAGATTAATATTGTGATTCGGGGTGAGGGGGGTTATATGTGCCTTTTGATGAACACAAATGTTAATGCTTTAAATGATGAATTTGGAGAGATAATTCTATAAAGTAGAAAAGAAGATTTAAAGCTGAACTTCTAAAACATATACATATATAAAGCAATCTCAGCCAATATATTTAGTGTTTTGAACACCTTATTCGTATTAAGCTTACTTTGTTTAAACCCAGAACATGAAGCTCGCTAATGGGGTTGTTCTCAAAAGTCTGCCTAAGAATTGAACATTACACAAAGCACATTGCAAAGCTAGATTTAAAAGCAGATATACTTCCATAAAAGCTTACATTTAAAATTATCCCTTGAAAGCCCCACATGACTGGCCTATAACTGCTCACTGCTTAAATGTTTTTCTGTTTCCTGTTGTGTACCAGGGAGCCGAGATAGAAGTAGATGAAAATGGAACGTTGGACTTAAGCATGAAAAAAAATCGCATCCCAGACAAGGCTGCACCCCTGGCTTCCTCCAACGCCACCATCCCAACCCCTTCCTCCTCCCCCTTCAAAGCAAGCAGCATTTTGGTCAACGCAGCGTTCTACCAGGCTCTCTGTGACCAACAGGGCTGGGAGACTCCGATCAACTACAGCAAAACTCATGGGAAGCCAGAGGAAGAGAAAGAGGTATCGTTTCAATATGCCAATCACTAAGCTGGAGATGAGTCCGTCTGCAGAGCTTTTTCTCCTAAATCATAGTTCACATTCCTGTTTTCATAACACACAGTCCTGTCCTTTGATTCTGACTTAGTAATAAAGCAATCATTTTAACTTTCAGGTGAAATTTACTAATGAACCAAACTTTTCAGGTCTCTTGCCTAAAATGTCATTACAGTAAATTTTATTCTCGGAGTGGTATCAATTTGTTTGCACTACAGAAAAGAGTCTCTTATTTTGCAATCTTCAGGGAGTGGTGTTTTGTTCAACATAGAAAAGCCAGCCCACTGGTCCTTTCTAAACCAGAGAGTTCAAGATAAAATGCAACTGCGGACCAGGCAGAATCTTGAAAGTACGTCACACCCATGTTCTGCTGTGAAGGGGTCACACTGGCATAGCTATGAAAAGAGGCATTTTTGGAAGTAGCAGATCTTGAATGTTAGATGTCTTAATTGTATCAGCCCTGAAGTCAGGAAACATACTTGTGCATTTGATCATCTCAAAGGTGATTTCACCCCCAAAACCAGAACTTGTGAAAGAGTCTTTCTCTCTGTAGTCTGAGCCCTCAACTTGGTCTAATTGGCTATGGTCTACTTAGCGTAACTTAAAAGGCTTGTCAGCCGTAGCTCCCTGTTTAGTCTTCACATGACTGGAGGTGTGACCCTGAGGGTTACAGTGAATGATACCAATATGCTGTCAGAAAATCACTGATGGACCTGCTAGTTGATATGCTTAGAAAACCAAAATATCCATTCTTTGTAGATGTGTACCCTATCTTTTTCAGCCTTTTGAATTTCAGAGACTTGGGGGAATCTAATTTGATTTTTGCTTTTACAGCTCAGCACACTAGTGGCCATACAGAGGCATGATCACGGAGTTGGGCTGTTTTCACATTCTTCCTCCTTCTTTTCCTTTGATTCCTTCCTCCCGTCATTCACTGGCATCTCCACGTTCAAGCAGTGAACTAGGTGCTGGAGATTTCGTGACAAATAAGACATGCTTTGCTATGTACAAGGACTTCAGTCACGTGTGCTGAACAGGGCGGCACAAACAGGCACCGGAAAAGAGGGGTTTCTGAGTCTGGATGGGGTGTCAGAGGCAGATACCCAGAACAAACCAGCACCACCACCATCCCCTGGATCTGAGGCAGCCCTGATTTCCTCCATCCATGACAACCTGTGGAAATATGAAAGGAATCACAAAATTGCACTGTTTGATTAGACACTCTCTTACTAGTTTTAGTCTTTGAGTTTTAAGAACACACCTAAAATATCTCAAAATGGTTTTAATTAATTCATTAATCAATATCTCCTTTTATGAAATGCTTGAGATTAGGCTTGGTAGTCTTGGAAGTTTAGACTTTTTCAGACTTTGGACTATTTATATAAACTCTCCTGAGAAGCATCCCTAACACAAAATTCCGAGATCAGAATCCAAAAATTTTTGAGTGTTGTGTTGGCTTTTAGGATTTTAGATTTTCAAATGAAGGGTGCTCAAACTGTGTTTTAGAATCAGTCCTAGTAAATAATACAGTACATATTGGATGGTGATAAATGTAACGCTGACATGTGCAAAGTCCCAGAGCCTCCTTGACCTAAATGGTGGTGATGAGCTGGCAGGGTGTATCTCTTGTCTCCATCACAGTGACCTACTGTTGTCTCAAGCTTGTGAGAAGGAACAAAAGTCATACCTGACTTCTCTCCGTCTCATAATTTATCAGTATTTGCATTACTTGGTCAGTCTGCACTTCTCTTAAACAGAAGGAAGGGGCAAAATAGGACAAGTTGGCTTTAGCAAAGAGAATGGCCCTCTAGTTCACAAGACTGAGTCTCTGGCCAGTTGATTACCAGTTAGATGCGAGTATGTGACTCCCATTCCCTTAAGGGAAACCCATCCCTGGGAATGAGATCTGTAGGTGTGTGTTGAGAAGTTGGTGTGTTCCACAGAGGGCAGTGCTTTACAGAGAAGGTAACTGCATTCCTGTCCTGCAATGCCAACATTGTGCCTTTAGATTTAAAAAAAAAAATGAGGAAAGGGCTTCTTTAGACTAGTATGAGACTTGTGAAATATTATTTTGAAAAAGTAGATTGCGTTCAGCGTTGTCTTTGAGAGGACATAAGGGATTGCATATGTGATAAGAATAAAGACAAGAAAGCTTTATAAGTAGTGTCTCATTGTCCCAACAATTCTGCAAAGCAGGATAACTATCACATTTTGTGGAGAAGAAAACTGACCCTGAAGGAGGTACCATTGTTGATCCTTAACTACACAGAGATTGATGGGCCAGGAATCCCTGCAAAAAAGGAAATGGGGAATGTGGAGAATAAAAAGAAAGATATCATCAATGGGTGAAGACAGTTTAGGAAATATTAAGGAAAAAATAGAAAAAAGAATGAGCAGATGGTTCATGGCAAGGTGTGGAGGCGGCTCCCTTGGTCTCAGGTGCTTTCAAGGACATAGGGGCAAAGCCCTCAGACTCAGGACGGCACCATGAGGTGACCACAGATAACAGGCACAGGACTGGCTCATTCTTTTCCCTTTCCACAAGGCATCACAAACATCTGAAGACCAGAGGTGGCATGGTGCTGCCCCCACACTGTTCTCCTCCTCTGTCATCTCCTCCCCTGGGCTTCACCACACATGACACCCACCCAACTAGAAATGGAGTGATTATTTCTAATTCATTGTTATCTAGTTCATATGCACAACAGTTGCTTAATTTTGGTGGTAATTTTCAGAAAATATTGTCTGTCTCTCTTGGTGAAATAGCCTGTCCAGATGCCCCCTAAAAAAAAATCATGAATCTGGAAAAAACTCAAAATAACTTGAAAGGAAAGTACTGAGAAATAGCTAGGGCTGTCAGTTTCATTCAACTGTCAGTTCTCCAAAGATTTCAGGGCTTAAAATGTTAAAAGTGCCAGATGCTATTATCTGTTATTCATGTTACCATTATGTTCTGTCTTTACTGAGATCGGTATAAACTTCCATCTGTACATTAGAGAATTTCATGGAGTGTATACACTCCCTGAACACACATGTATGCTGGGCTCTCTTTTTACATATTACGCACAGGACAAAATTACTATCTTCAAAATGAAATTTTAAATGTTGGAAAAAGGATTCTCACAAATGTAATACACTGGGTGCTGCTTAGGAAGTCATCCAATATCGAACACTTCTGTACAGAACTAATCTGAGAACTGTTTTAACAATGCCCCCCTCTGTTTTAACACATACATTCCCTACAAGCTTCCAGGAGTAGAATATTAAGCAAAGAAAGGAAGAAAGGCAATTCCATGCATAAGAGTTTATACTTTTTTAAAAATCTGACATATTTAAAAAGTCATGGGCAACAGAATTACCCTATTGAAATACTGTCCCACATTACCAGACAGAATTAAATAACATCCTCCAACATAATTTTATATGCATTTTAATCTAATAGAAGTTAAAGCTTTTATAATCGATCATTTATTTCAAAGTTCCTACATTGTCTTGTACAGATTCAACCTCCAAACAATAGTTGCAAACTTGTGTGTGTTCCTTTAAAAATATATATGCCTTCTTAGACACTATGTTTTTTATAATAAAGTAATTTTTTTTACTTCATACCATTTTGTGAAAAATTCAGCATCTAAACAGAAACACAAAGGCTGTTTGTGAGATGATATTGGATTTAACTTTTGCATCTGCTTTGAAAAAACCAAGATATTTCTGAATTACTGCATTGGAAATGACTACCCAACGCAAAGCCAGATTGTCCCAAATAGAGTGGATAATGGAACAATTGGGCTCAAAGGCTTTAAAATTAGGAAATGTTTGACTTTAGCCTTTTACACTGTAAAACTTTAAAAGGATGAACTTCAGTCCTCTATCTTGCCATAGATTCCACGGAGACGACGTTGCGATAGCTTAGCGACTGAACTCGGGGTCTTTGGAACGCCTCCCTTTTTACTTTTTCTGGGACAGAGTTTCACTGAGCAATCAAGTTGCTCAAGCAGATCTTAACCTTGCAGTCCTCTTGGCTCAGCTTCTGCCTTTAGCTTTTAAATGGAGTGTGTAGCGCTTTAAACAGGATGAAGAGAGAAACCGTACCAAGCCAGCTTCTGTTAGTTTGATCTGAAACTAATCTCAGTCTCACTGGTTTATCAATAGATTTACTTTAGCACACTTGTGTATGAAATAATTGACTTGCTGTCCAAGTAATGACTGAGAGAAATTATGCTTGCCTTAATGATAAGATCAATGTTTAGAAATTTCCTTTGGCTGGAAAAAATCCAGAGATTTTTTCCCTGTGGCTTTTGGATATAGACTCAGAATTATTAAGATTATGCTATAGTATTTCATTTCCATGTCATTTAAGGAATATTTATTTTGAACAATTCAAAATCACAAGCTCATTTTAAATAAATCAGTACTTTCAAGGTTTAGGATATGCTTTTCTATATTAATCTGATTTTAACATTAAATCTGAAAAGTATTATATTTATTAGACAGAGCCTTAATAATGAAAGCAAGCTAGTTATTCAATTCAGGAAAACTATCATGAGTTTTATGTGGGATAATACTTGGTAAATAAATAATTTGGAAAGATGAATGAGTTTTCCTTATGGGGTCAAAATCAGCGTTAAGTTTAAAAGTCCAACAAGAAATTTCACCCAATGAATGAAAACATCACAAGATACCAGCTTAGCGGAAGAGAAAAGAAGAGAGGAAATGATGTGAAAACAACAATTATCCAGAAAAATGAAATTAAGTGTCTCATAATGTAGCCCCAGCTATTACATATTTAAATACATAATTTAGATCATGATTGTTTGGTACTGAAGTGGGAATTTTGTTAATCTAAAGTTCTTCTTTTACTTAAAAATCTGTGTGATTCTTTTTTTTTGCATTTTACTGCAATTGACTGCTGGATATATAAAGAACTATTCCTGTGTTCTTTTTAAGGTGTTCATTATATAATATAATTTAAAGCATATTAATGTGTTAATTATAGAGTTGAAGTAACTCCTCTAGAGTTATGTTTGCTAAAATGTGAACTTTTTAAAGATTTTCCATCAATTGTAATTTCTCCTTTTTCACTGAGTAAAGATCCATAGCAATTAGAATACACACTCTTTTATTCTTGTTCTTATTTATTTCTTATATAAGTCTTTAGCAACATTTCAGCTAAATCTTCTGGTAAAATCAGATCTGATTTGTGTGACCTCAAATTTAGTTGTCTTTTCAGGGCTCCCTAATCATCTCTCTGTTTCTCTCTCTCTCTCGTCTCACTTTCTTTTTTTTTTTCCAGAAAGACATAGTAAACTCTCTAGAAAATTTAGAGGAGAAAAAGTTTCCTGGAGAAGCCTCTATTCCAAGCCCTAAACCCAAACTCCATGCGAGAGATCTCAAAAAAGAGTTAATCACGTAAGTGGTATCCACCGCTGTGTCCTAAAGGATGATGCCATAAAAAGGCAGAAGTTCATAATTTTACATAATAATACTTTTTCTTATACAGTTGACTTTTGAATGGTTTTGGAGGAATTTCAATTAGCCAGCAATTAAATGTCCAACATATACTTGAACTTATGCATTGAACTGGGTGGGCTGTAAAAAAAAAAGTATACAAGATACGGTCTTATGCAAAGAGAACCAAATCAATCTTAAAAAGCAGCATAAGATGGAACAATTAGAAAAGTGCATGTTTTGGCCAAAGTTCTCAACATTTGTGTGAGAGGATCTCAGGCTGGGGTTCAGGGAGTCTGGGAGTAAATAACTTTCCAACTTGCTACTGGGTTTAGTGAGTGAATGGCTTTCATTACAGCTTCAGAGGGATACTTTGATCCAGAAGAATTTAAAACCCATTACTCTGATTTGATCACTATGTGATGCATACATCAAAGTGTCACATTATATCTCTTAAAATATATATACATATAATTATTGTTTCAATTAAAACTAAAAAGACAATAAATACAGACACCCGAGGGCAGACGGTGAGTGAATGAATGAAATGCAAAAAGAACTGTTTTCTACATGTAAACATTTAAATGTTAATCAAGTATACTCAACACAGATACCTCTATAGCTGACAACTGATGAGTGTCTCCAGCAAACAACTTTTGCAGTTAGACACCAGTGTTCCTACCCTCTGCTCTGTATTCCTCTATTTAAAATTTTCCACTAACTGTAGATTTGAGGACCTCTTGTACCCCGGGAGACTCTCCACCTGGACTCCATTTCTGCTTTCATTTATAGATTAAACTCCTAAGAAAAGTATCAATAGTGTGTGACTCAGTTTCCCCCATCTTTGCCAAACAGATTTTCACTGCCACCCCTCTACCCAAACCCTCTTTCTAGTTAAATTTTTCTGGGACCCCTGCCCTATTCTGTCTGTTGGTCTTTGAATCTCTTGTTCCCTGTTGATGGGACAGTGGGAGTCCACCACACTGATCTTACCTTCCTCTGTGGTCTGTAATCTGCCATTCACCTTGGGTTTCAAGGACTCTTCACCTGGGAATTTTCCTGTCACTCTCTGCAGTCCCTTCCTAGACTCAGACCCAGCCCTCCAAACTTTGAGACGTCTCAGATCCCAGTCTGGGACCTCTTCTATCTGCACTCTCTGTGATCTGTATCTTCACTGAGACCTCCAGATGCATCCCCACTTGCCCACAGCAGCAGTGAGCTCTCAGCTTCCCTCAGGCCCTGCCTTTCCTCCCTCCCATCCTCCTCTGTTCCTTGACACACCTGCTCACAAAAGCACACCTTCCCTAGAGCATCCCTAACAGTGCTCTCTGCCAGAAGTTCCCCCTGTGAGCTTACCTCTTCTCCATCAGCTGTCCTCTCAAATGTCCCTTACCGTGAGACATAGCTACTGCAGCTCCTCATCCCAGCCATGGAACTCCATCCCTCTTTCCAGATCCTCTCTCATCAGCGTTAGCACCATTGAATGCATGTACAGTACCCAGCTGCCTTCACTTCTGCCTCTGTGGCCTGCACCTCACTGAGGAGGCTCCACATGCGGTCCTGCCCTCACGTTCTGTTCTCTACCCCAGCCGCAGCACTGGTGCTTATTACATGCTGTCTGCTTCTTATTTCCCCACCAATATGCACAGAGCCTGGGATAGAGAACACATCTCAAATGCCAGGGCCAAGTATAGGACCTCATACGTGGCAAGCGTTCAGTAGAATTATTCCTTGTCCAGCATCAGTGTGTTGCATCAACATGTGAGTGGTTTTTAAAATCCTAAACTTGACATTCCCTAAGAATTTCACAGGCAAGCATTCCTGGCCTGAACACAATGCTCCTACATAAGTCCGCATTCATCTGGGGCTTAGCGGGGGCAACCGATCGGTGAACACACTGTAACTTAAATTTCACCAAACACTGTTTCTTTCCAAAAGGCCACTTATGTGAGCTACACACACACCTATGCCAGGTGGACCTGACATTCAAGCTTGCATATCGCTGTATAGCTTCTCTTTCCACATAATATTTTTAAAAATACCTTCAAAAATGGAAAACAGTTAATTTTTGAATAAGGATTATTGGAAATTCCCAAGTACTGCAAACTAAATACATGGGAAATGTTATTACTATGCAATTCCATTTTGAAGGAGAAAAGTGAAATGTAATTTGTGATGGGCACTGCCTGTGGGTATTAAGGCAATTGGAAAAGAGAAACATTCCAAAGAATTTGAACAATTTGTGTGTTAATTGTGAATTATCAGCCAGAGACCTCACAGGTCACACACGTTATAGACAGGATGGTATCATTTACTTATATGTATCTATGTTAGCATGTTTGTTTTGTAAAAGTCATACTACTTTACAGTGTGACTCTGTCCTTATGATTTGCTTTGTGTTTTTAATAGACAATTATACTTTGCTTGCCAGAAACTGTTTGGTAAGAACAGCATTTTATTTTGTCAGCCATCCAACAATTTAGTGTTTGAGTGCCACTGATTGAAGAAATTAGCTAATTTCCTTTCTTCATTTTTGATATTTCCATTGGCCTGACCATAATATATTGCCCAACCGGAATTTGTGCATACAAAATTCTTCATTGTAGATTTGGGATTAAACCTACCAGAATCCTAAACAGAAATTTTTCCTACTACTATGTCACCAGTTCTTTGTTGTTTGACTTTTTACTATAAATAAAATTGTAATGATTTAATTTTCAGCTAATCAAATGTATATTATATATATATATATATATATATATATATATATATATTTTTTTTAAACTGGGGATCAAACTCAGGACTTTGCACTTACCAGGCAAGCACTTGAACCACTGAGCTAAATACCCAGCTATTTTATTATATTTCGTAGGAAATTTTACATGATTCAGTTTTAAAATACTGTACCTTCTTTGCCTCGTTTGGGACTGTTAATAGAAGTAATTAAAAACAGCATAGGTAACTAGAGTAAAATGAAATAAATGCCGCTAGAGGACGCTAGGTGGCAGTGTAGGATGCTCAAAGTCGGAGACGTCAATCAAAACGTCTCTAAATGCTCTCCTTGTATGGTGTTCAGAAAAGATTTTTCTGCATTTAACCTGGTACTAGCAAGAGAGCTCTAATTTGACCACTATGAATGTTTTGTCTACTGTTTTACACATGGTTTAGCTTCTACACTTTGTGACATCCTATCCAGGAAAAAAGGACAAAAGCATTAAATGACTCAGTTTAGATTAAACCTTGAAAATCAGACATCCCTGTGCTATTTCTCATGCTTGTAGTTTTTTTAGGTTACCTGAAAATGGTTGGAAAATAGTTCACAGGGGAAAAAAACTGCTTAAAAGTGACAATTTAGAAAATACTGGATTGTTGTTCATCTATCCCAAATGTCTCTTCGAAAGGTTAAATTTTGTGCCGTACATATGTAGCTACGCCCTCACTCTGGGAAGGGTGTCAGAGAAATCAGAGGCAGGAATGACATAACCGATTTTCCCTCGGATTCCGAACACTGCCACAAATAGCACCGAGTCGGCTGGGGTCAATCTGCTTGCTCCACGTAAGAGTTTCCAACAGCCTCCTAGAAAATTAAATGACCGAAAAACCAAAGAATCTGCTAATTGTGGAAGGAATATCTAATGATTACTATGATCCTGTGCTACATTTTTCAAAACATGGAAGAAGCCCAGGACATGGCCAGTTTCTGAGATAAAGTGAAGCATTGTGATGGAACACCTTTGACAGATGGCCTAAGGGTCTATTCTTAGACTAATTGTGAATGAGGGATTGCATTTCTTGGGTTACAAATGTATTCATCAGCTACCCTGTCCCTGGAGCACAATACCCAATATCTACACCTTAAAGAAGGAAACAAATAATTTATCTCATGGTATTGGGGGATTCATTCAACAGTTATCTGGCTCCAAGGCAGTAGCATCACAGAGGACTATCAGAGCAGAGCAGAGACGTTCATTCAGGAGCACAGGGAAACAGGTGCCAGAGCAGAAGGGGAGGGGACCAAATAAACCCCAATCCATCCTCCATGACCCACCCAGACACACCCAGATATGTGCTCTACTAATCCCCTTAGTGGCTCCCAAGCCAATCAGGCTGATGTGCTGAAGCTTAATCACCACAACAGCTCTGGGTGAAATTGCTTAAGGGTTTTACCAACGAAACTTCTTGTCTATTTTTGTATTGTCAGCAACTTTCTCACCTAAAATACTAGTTTTCATTTTAGTACAAGATTTTTCTTTTTTTTACTGGTGGCATCTCAAATGTCTATGAAATTCAGATGTGTTGTGTATACATATCGGCTCTTCACAATGAATGTAATCTCTGTGTACTGCCAACATGTGTGAATAAGAAATGTTAAGTGTTCATTAAGTTAGTAGGTTTTGGGCTGGGGATTTAGCTCAGTGGCATAAGTGCCTGCCTTGCAAGCACACAATCTTGAGTTCGATCCCCAGTACTGATTAAAAAGAGAACTTAGAAACATTCCTTTCTTCAACTTATCATAAAATTGGTGAAGTACTCTTGAGATCTGATGTCACTGTAAAGGGTGGATTTCTAATGTTTTTTTAATAATATTTATACTTTCAAAGGAATAGAACACTGTCAGTTATTCACAAAATGTCTAGGACACACACGTTAGTATCGCTTAACTTATTTGAAGCAGAAAATTGGATACGATGTTGGGAACAGCTCAGGAAGCAGCGCCACATGCAATGATTCTTGTTTTTTTCGGTTAGTCTCTTGGTTCTTTCATAAAACCAATATAAATCCTTAATGCTTAACTTCTGCATGTTCTATGCAGTATCAACTTATCTTAAAAGGAGGAGCTACTTCCTAAGCTATGAATCTGTGAAATGCACCTGACTCTAATGATGTGCTTTTCTGCCGATCAGCTGTCCAACGCCAGGATGTGACGGAAGTGGCCACGTCACCGGAAACTACGCATCTCACCGCAGGTACCTGTGGTCAGAGAGGTTGTCATCATCTCATGCTGTTGTAAATACTTACTCCCATCCCTTCTGGTCAAAATGCATTTTAGTCCAAATTACAAAGTTGGGGTTGATTTCAGGCTTTGGTCTTGTTTAGCTCTCAGTGAAGACAACGAGGGTGGACCATTAACCTCGTGGAAATGGCACCTTTGGTCTTGGGCAAGGCACTAGAGAGATTAAACAGGGCAGAGCCCAGGACAAATCTTTCCATTTACCTTCATCTTGCTTTATTATCTTTCCTCTGGGGCACCAGTTTAAGCTGTTAAACTAGCATCACCTGATTCTGCTGTGGGGACAAATTGTGTCAGCAGCCCCTGGGCACTGAATTCTAGAGCTGGGGAGTTTCATTGGATCAAACAATTCGTTTGATAGAAAGCAAATCTGAGTCTATCAGAAATAATTGAAATGCCCACAAGTGCAGACGCAGAGCAGCACAGCCAAATTCAAACCCAGATTTTTACCCCCAGTCCCCATCACTAATAATTTAACATGTGACAAACTCATGATGCCATTGGGATCAGATTTGTATATGTCAATATGGTATTTTTTTCTTTCTCCTCCCTTTATAGTGTTTCTGGATGTCCTTTAGCAGATAAGACTCTTAAGTCCCTCATGGCTGCTAACTCTCAGGAACTTAAGTAAGTGTCAGGAGGCGTGACCTCTTTGGCTTCTGTTCCCCACGGTGGGGTGGGGGCCTTCCGTATCATTAAATGTCAGTACGATCAACAAATAGCGAATTGTACCTAACTAAATGATAGGAAAGCACTCTTTCATGAGAAAGCTCAAATGACAACAAAAATTATATTCTAGTTAATTCGTTTACTTTGGAGGCCTTATACAGTATATTATAATAATTTTAAAGGAACAATGTAATTGTTAAATGCAATACATTTTCCATCAATTTCAGACCTATGAAGTGTACCAAAGCATTTCTATCACCCAATTTAAGAAAATAGTATTTTACTTTATGAGCATTTAATAGCATTTATAGTATTTTACTTTATGAGCATTTAAAATCATATAGCTATTTTTTACTTTTGGGTGCTAAACACAATTTTGCTTCATTTCTACCCAGTTACAAGATCTCTGAGGAACATATGTATTAACATTTATGTATTTATTTTACTTTTAATTTTTATCTTTTTATTCCAAATTTTCATTTGCTAGATGTCTTATTACACATACTGTAATCAAAAATTTAAATCCTTTTTATATGCTTGATAATGAACCAACATAAAAATTTGGAGTTTCACTACCAGAAACAATAAAGAGATCTGTGACATATACGTGTATCATTTTCAAAGTGTGAAGTATACTTTTAGAAATCATCTTACTGATTATCATTATGCTACACTGAAATATAAGAAAGTTAAGTAGTGATTAATAACTCACCACTTGGAAGTGAGGTGTGCCAGAATATCTTAGTTAATTACTCTAAACTTCATTGTTGCATCTGAATTATAGCTGGTGGCTCTCAAGATTTTCTCTAAACATTGTTTTAAAACAATAGCTAATATATTGAAGTCATATTAGACTGAAAGGTCCTGTTAAACTATTTAACATTTGTGTTTTCTGCCAATGTCAAATAAGCAATATTTTGAGGTTTTTTTTTTTTTTTTTTTTTTGTAGTACCAGGATCAAACTCACAACCTTTCACTTGCTGGGCAGGCACTTATACCACTGAGCTAAATCTCCAGCCTATTTTGGGTTTTCTATGCAAGAAAAAAAAAAAAAAAGACATTTCACTGACCTCTTGTTCAGATATTCAAGGAGAATCTCTCAAAAAAATAAAAACTATCTAGAACTATTGCATAATTACAATATGCTAGTAAATCAGTATTTCACAACACATTAATAGAACAAGATAAGCTTGCAAGATTTCCTTACAATACAGAACATACATTATGTCTTTAAATGGTTAAATATCAATCCAATTTTCTCCCATTCGCTGGAAGAGAAGCATGCTGATTTTCTATTTCATTTTGGAAAAAATAAACATTTATTCTCTTTTTTGTGCCCATGGATTGGATTTAATGAAAGTTTATTTTTAAATTTCAGTAAAGGGAGAATATTCACAATTTTCTTTATTATTAATGCATTTTTCAGTCGAAACTCCCGTGTGGGTGGAGGTCTAAACTACTGGGAGCGTACTGTGAAATAATAAGTGAAGGAAATCTATACAAAAGCCCTCAGAAAACAGATGTGTTGTGATAGCCTCTGTTTTTATTTGTACTGGAGGTTTTTGATAAGCAATAAAATGATGAATATTCTTACAAACTTTTGTTTTCGAGTGTGTTTTCATGCATTCCTAATCTGCATTCCAAGTGGAAGTGTATTTCTCTTCCTGTTTCATCTTTCTGATTCCAAATTTAATGGTTTATTGTGAATAATACTTAAGGGTAGATTTTCACAGAGACCTGCAAATTTAGGCCATGAGACAGGACAGACCAGTGACAAATCACTGAAGTTCTCTGTTAGTCATAGTAATGCTCCAGGCCGCTTGAGTTCACATGTACCACTGCTGTCCACGTGAAATTAATGGATTATCATGGTAGGGATGCTATTTATCAGAGAAATTATTAATCAAAACAGTCTGGAAAGGTGTTCTTCTTACATGTAAGAGAAAAACTTCACTGAATGGAGACAGAAGCCACCAGTAAGTTGTGGGCTTTCAACTACTTCCCTATACAAGATTTTTAAAAAATGTATAATAAATAACCAAGCATCCCATACTGGTTCCATATTTTAGATTTTTTTTTCTCAAAAAATGGTTGCTTAACCAAAAGCTAATCGTATTTAAGCAACAAGAAAGCAAAGATCTTGACCAGCCTAAGCAGCTCCTTCTCTGCTAGAGGGCATCATGACCCCTTCTCCTGCCTAACCTCGGGCCTGCGCTCTGCTCTGTGTCTCCCAGGTGTCCAACCCCAGGCTGCGATGGCTCAGGGCACGTGACTGGAAACTATGCCTCCCACAGAAGGTAGGCCTATGCCCCCCGGGAGGTGGAAACCAGCGTGCCAGCAGCAGGGCGCTCACAAGATGTCGTGCTTGGTGTTTTTTGGTTGTATCTTTTAGCTTGTCCGGATGCCCTCGTGCAAGGAAAGGCGGTGTCAAAATGACCCCCATGAAGGAAGAAAAAGAAGACCCTGAACTTAGGTAAAGTGCATGCATGGAAGCCTCAGGGGCTGCTGACTGGGCTGGCTGAGGGGGTGAAGCCTGTGCTGGGGTGCAATACAGCCCACTGAGCCTGAGAGAAGATAGACTGTCAAACATCAGGGCCCCTGATGTTCATTCTTTCCCCAGTTATCTTTTTTCAGAGGCATTTTGGAAGTGCTATAGAATGACAAATGCAGCAGCATTTCCCCTGACACTAATTTTGCATAAGGTGCAATTGTACTTAAGTTGGATTTCTTCCTGTAAAAAACATGCTACAAGGATTGGGTAGTACCCACAGTATAGATGCAGAAATACAAATTATTTTCTCTGCAACATGTCTAAGTGCAATATTTAAACATTTGCACATCAAAATTGAAGGGTCCAAGTGATGTGCCGTGTAGCATTGATCAAAATGGTTAACATTTTATCCCCTGTGACTTTTTCCAGAAACAATTTAATTTATTGCTTATGTGAATGACTCTAAAGCTAGAAAGTATAAATATGAACTTGACTTTAAAAATGTATGGTAAATCAGCTGAATTCTATAAACCTCATTTTTTCTACCTACAAAGTGGGATAATACCACCATCTACCCAATGAGTTTGCAGTGAATACTGAGAGATAATACATGAAAATCGCCGAGCTTGGTGCCTGTGGATCATTATTACTAATATTGCTAATAAAGCTGTCTTGCTGTGTGTGGTAGCATCTTTTCAAACTGTAATTTCATGGCTCGTCTCCTGGATAGTATGGAACTGTGTCTGCCTTTTTCAGAGCTGGTGACATCTCTGCTGTGTCTCTCTAGATGTCCTGTAATAGGATGTGATGGCCAAGGTCACATATCAGGTAAATACACTTCACACCGCACTGCGTCCGGCTGTCCCCTGGCTGCCAAGAGACAGAAGGAGAATCCCCTCAATGGGACCCCTCTCTCCTGGAAACTGAACAAGCAAGAACTGCCTCACTGCCCCTTGCCAGGCTGCAATGGGCTGGGCCATGTAAATAATGTTTTCGTCACGCACAGAAGGTAACATTTGTTTTTTGTCATTTTATTCTGTCATTGTGATTGGTTGTCACCTGGATTGCTTTGGGGTTAAGGGAGTAAAACCTTTCTAAATGTCATGAATTGTAGCACTTTAGATGTCATATCATTGAATCTTGCTAAATTGACATTTGACTAAACTGAAGAACAAAAAAATGATGTTTTATCTATTTCTGAAAATGTACTACGCAGTTTTCAAGTGCTCTAGAGACTGTGCATTTTTTTTTGTATTCTAAAATATTGTGTATACTGCCCTTTTAAAGTAGCCCAGTCTTTCAGTGGTTCACTTCAGTTCCAAGTGGTGTTATCTACTCTATTTTGTTATGCAACTGTAAATATTTGTATCATTCACTCCCCTCATGCACTGACTGAATTTTAGACAAGAATTGTGATTATTTTGCTGCTAGGAAGATGTGAATCATCCACAGCGGCCAGAAAAAAAAGATAAAGACTGCTAAGAGTGGAGAAGATAAAGAAGAATTGGAAAAGCCTCTCAGAGTTTCACAAAAACTTAATTCCGTTATCACTGAGTACTGTGTATTTCAACCAAGCCCAGGCTAGGCAACAGTAATCTTATACATGTTTTAGTTTATGTTCTACCTAGAGGAAAAAATTAGAGGACTTGTGTCTCCCACCAGTGAGTCCCATTTTCCCTGTGGGCTAGTGGATGTGACGCTGGTTTAAACCTCACTGAAGCCAGGTATGTGGTGCACAATTGTAATCTCAGCGCTCTGGGAGAATGAGACAGGAGGACCACAATTCTGAGCCCAGCCTGAGCAATTTAATAATTCACTGTGACCCTGTCTCAGGGTTTAAAAGTGGGGGCATGCTTCAGCATTCTCTGAGTTATCTGTTTTGCAAAATAAAATAAAATGACCCAGGGAATCCTTAGGAAAGTTTTGATGCTTTGTTTATGAGCAGTGCACAAATACAGCAAAGCTGGGCCCCTTCGACCTGGTTTATTTGTAAGACAGAGACCAAAGGCATCAGAAAACAAAGCCTCCCAAGAATGGCTTATTTTGTAATTGATGCTGAAACCTGTTTATGAAGAAAATTTGAATCTTCAAGTGGCTTATTTTTCATGGCTTTCTGGTACAAGATCAGGTTCAGCATCCTATTCTGTGTTTGCTTTAGACTTTAGATCATTATTTCACAGTCAGGAACAGCGGTTCAAGTTAAATGTGTGTCACGTGCCATTTTGTCTAAGAAGGCAGATGAAAAAATAGCTTAATGCTGCTTTCATATGCCTTAAGAGAGTTACAGATTTGGGCAAAACCAATAGAAGGCACGCTTTTCTGCCTTTCCAACACGGTACCCATGTCCTGAAGGTTACAACCCAGGCCTGCCAACGCCAGCTTCAAAAGGAAAAAGAACTTTCAAATATTTTTCCTGTTCAGTTTCTTTTAATTTAACATTTGTTTTACATTTAGGATAATATAACTACACTGAAATATACAAGTTACCAAGTAGCATTTTGAGGCCAAAACTGCATGCTATAACTTAACTTTATACTTTGGTTCTAAGTCATGTAACCGGGGACAGATGCTTCTTTAGCTTTTACACAATGTTATACCAACCGAGAACTATGTTACAAGTCATCTAAACAAAATAGAGCCATTGGAGAGAAGTGGGGAAGGGGGCTATAATGAAATGTCATCATCCATTATTTTACAAACAGAATTACTGCAGGGACCTAAAAACTCCACCTTAGCAACGGCGTGCCTCCTCCCATTCATGACCAAGTTCTGAGAACACAGAATGTGTCAATAAGACACACACGTGCAAGCTCCCTAGAAAAGGCTGTTTTAGCAAAGCTTGTCTGGGTTATCACTGTCAGCAGCTTACAGAATGAAAGCACAGGTTCTGAGTTCAGTCTGTGTCTCTCATTTTTTTCCTTCACCTGTTAAATAATTTATCACCAAATTTACCAAATTTTACTTAGCAAACTATATTTTCTCTGCCTATATTACCTGTTGCTATTTATTATCATATTTTATATTACTATTTCTTAGAATCTTAATGTGGCATAGCTCACTATTCTTTCAGTACACAGTGACTCACATTTATTAAAGGCTTTGCTCCAGAAATATTTTCTTCTGTTTTACATCGCATCACAAGCTTAGGGTGGACATGATTGTTTTCTGTGGGAAACGATGTTTTAAATGGCTGATTATGATCACTTTGATTTTGATCTAAAATTTGTTTAGACAAAGACATGACAAAACCGAAAAAGAATGGCTACTTGAAACGACAAAACTGTCTGATCATAGAGGATGGGAAAAAAGCTTTTTTCAATGTTGTCATCATACTGGTGCAATTTAAATAAAAGCGGTGACATTAAAGGAAAGAAGCCTGCAAGTATTCAATGAACAGGGTTAGAAGGACACCCGAGGATGACAGCTGCTACGGATCCTCTGTGTCTACACACATGGCAGAAGCTCGTATTATTCTCCTTTGGGGTTGTAGAGTTTTTTAAAAGAAAAATGTTTTACTGGTTAAAAAATTTAAAACATTCCCATGTTCAGACTGAGTTTGCCATAGGGAGAGTAGTGAGATCATTTTGGTTTTTGTTGCGTTATTATGGAGAGAGCAGCCCACCCCTTGTATAAAAACAGGATGAACTAGATTGGGCTTTGTTTTTCATGGAATTCTGAGCAGTCAGGAGAAATCCTTATTCACCGTCTACATGTACGAATTTTCTGTTTACAGAACATAAAGTAGCCACCATGAAAATGAAGGCACTTTGACAGAAGCAGCAGAGTAACATTCTCTGGCAAAATGAATTAAGTCATGATAGGGTAGCAGCAATGAATATTTGTACTTCAGTTCAAAAAAGAAAACAAAACATTTTCCATGACAGCAGAACCTTTGCCTTAATAGCTATTTGTTGGTTATTTTCTACAACAAGCCTGTGGCTTTTGTTATAATTAGTAGACATGCAAAAACACCAATAATATAGTAAATGAAACTTTTAATTTTTGTAAGAAATAATGTGCATTTCATGCAGGAGTATAAATTCCATTTTTGCAGCCTATCTGGATGTCCTCTCAATGCACAAGCTATCAAAAAGGGCAAAGTCTCCGAGGAACTAATGACCATCAAGCTCAAAGCCACCGGGGGTGAGTGACCGTCTCCCCGGAAGTGTCTGCGTATCTACCCGAAGGCCCTGCAACTTGACACACACACTGCACTCACACGCACTATGCATTTGCAGCCTGCATGTGTAATCTGAATACGCCAGAGGAAGAGTTCCTCGGATTTAAGCATAAGCAAAATGTTCATCTGAGAATCAATTTCTTGGGGTTTGCGCTTTTTTTTTCACAGTGTAAGAATTTGAACTCAGGGACTCAAGTGCTAGACAAGCGCTTTTGCCCTGAGCTACATCCCCAGGCTTTTCCTCTTACTCCTTAATAAGAATCCTTAACAGGAAATCAGGAAATTCTATTTGATTGGGCACAGAGAAATTGTGTCCTTCAGTTGGACAATGACACTTTCATTTATGTGTGTGTGTGTGTGTGTGTGTGTGTGTGTGTGTGCGCATTCCTGGTGTAAGGTACCTATCAGATTTCAGAAACCCAATTTCTCACATGTATATTTGAATTTTTAAATATTGTTCTTCTGTCCTCAAAAGTATATTTCATGGTGATTCTGGGTGGATCACACTCAGCACCTCGGTCTCCATTTCTTTACATATTTCCCAGGATCTGCCCCTTTTTAAAGCTAAGCTACCCCTAAACGGTTCCTGAGTTCCGCCTTTTCGTTGGCCCTGCACTTCCTTCCTATGATTTTTATTCAGCATTGTCTCAGGTCTGTGCTGAGTTCTACCAATGATCTTTCTAAAGCTTATGAGGCATGATAGCAATGACTTTGTTCCAGAAACTGTATTTGAGGACGATGTCTTTGGCACATAGCTAAAATTGAAGTTGGGTTTTAAAAAATTTTTTTAAACTTTTAGTTTTTTGGCACAGGGAATCAAAGCCATACTTGGTACTCACCTCCCACCCCAAGCTGAGGACTTTCCACAGCTGCTTATGTCTCTGAAGGACTTGCTGTCTCCTTGTGTAGCCTGGCTGGCCTGGAACTCTGGGTTCTCCTGGAGCTCTGCTGCCTCAGCCTCCAGGACAGCTGACATAAGTTTTAAAAAGGTGTACAGTGTCCCTAGAGGAGGGTCTCTCCAGGGTCCTACTGTCACCCCTAAAAGGGGAGACCTCTTCGTTGGTGGGGGCTTAGTCTCCCTTTCTGCCTAGAGCCTGGGAGGTAACAACTGGCAGTGGAAAAATAAACACCAGGACAATTGGGGACAGCACCAGTGTTCTCCAGAGTTTCCACCATCCAGAGGCCCAGCGAAGGCTCTTTCCTCAGCACTTTCCTTTGCTTGGAAATACTGCCCAGTCCTTAAATGCCTCTGCCTATTGTCATTAAAATTGGGACGCTTTAATGTGTATTTATTTATACATCACCTTAATTCAAACAGTACTTAAAGGGCAAGAGTGGGAAGCTACAGGAAAGAAAGCTGCTTAAAAATTAATTCAAACAAGGTACAAAGGAAAATCAACACTAAGAAGGCGAGACAGGGCAAGTCTGAGGATTACAAAAAAGAAATATGCAGCACAAGCCATTTCACGCTCAGGAAATAAAGATCTCAAATCTGACCTCACTTTTTAGAACTCACAGCAAGAGTAATGTAATTACCATGAGAACCACAGAGTACTAAGTAAATTCAAAGCAAATGTCTTTTTAGAACTGAATCCATGAAGAGTGTATTTACTGAGAGTCTTCAGGAAGAGAATACTAACAATACCTATTCTTAAATATAAATCACTGGGCTGCTCCTAAAAGGTAACAAATAAACCAGGGGCATAATGAAAACTGCCACACTGGTTTTCTTAAAGACTGTTACTAGGCCTTAATTAGCAAAATTAGGTTATGAGCTCAAGAGGGAAGGAACACCCTTCCATGCCCCGCGGGCATCCTTCCCCTTGGGGGACCCTCCCAGCTCCTCCCAGCTGGTGAAGTAGTGTGTTCTATGCACTGTACTTCATTATTCCTTTGAGTGTGTAGATAGCTATAAAGAGATTCAATACTCGGCATCACAGATCACCTTATTTCAAACAGTATTTAAAGGGCAAGAAGTGTGAAGCTCCGGGAAAGAGGCAAGACAAACCAGATGCAGAGGAAAATCAAAGATAAAAAATGCAAGACAGCCAGCATACGTAAACATATAAAATACTTTTCCTAGGTATACACATCTAAAGTGTATCAGGCACAGTTTAAATCAGGCACAGTAACAGATTTAAAAGAACTTAATAAAAATAGAACAAATATAACAATGTAATTAATAAAGGTGGTTTAAAATGTAGAGTTTCTGGCATTTTCCTTTTCATATTTTCAGGCTGCAGTTGATGGTGGGAAACTGAGGCCACAGAAAGTGAGGCTGCAGACAGAGGGCGTCCTCTGTATACTGAAGGTTAAGGGAAGCGATGCGTTCGTGTTTAAATCCAGCTCTAATACTCAGCTGGTTAACTGAGGAAACCTTAGTTCTCTCATCCCTACAATGAGGTCATAAATGTGTCTATCTCATGGTTTTCTTAGAAGGATCAAAGCAGTCAGTGATTGGAAGAGAAATGTGGGGCCTCCCCTTACATGTACAGTGCCTCATCAGAGAAGAAATAAGCCTCTAAAAGACTGCACTTAAGGGCAGATGAGGGCGTTAGTGGAGACAGACAAGGTAATTTTAAAAAACTTTAGAGGATGGCTAAACTTGATCTTGTGTCTAAAATAGCTTCCCAAATCCCGGAAATCATAACATAAAACATCAATTCACTCATTTACAAATTTCAAAACGTTTATGGAGAGCCCAGTTTGTATTACGTCATGTGATGTTTCTTCTTTGATACCCTATCCCACAATGAAATCCTCCCAACAGCTTCAGACATGCGCTTTTACTGGACATCTTTCTTGTGGCACAGACTTAAGGAAGAGGCTGGGTTACTATTAGTCAGCTTCCTGTTACTGTAACAAAATAGCTGAAATGACTAACTTATAAAGAAAATGGGTTTGTACTGGCTCGCAGTTTTGGAAGGTCCAGTCCAAAGTCTGTTGGTCCAGTGGTGTGGGCCTGGGGCAGCACATCATGGCGGTGTGTGTAAGAGAGCAAAGCTACTCACCTCACAGCCATTAGGCAAAGAGAAAAAGAAAAGAGCTGGGTCCCAGGATCCTCCTCCAGGGTACCCCAGTGCCCAGTGACTCTCACCAGGCCAGCTCTTAAAATTTTAGCAGCTTCGCACTTGCACCACCCTGTAAAGCATGGGCCTTTTGGAACGTCCAAAATCTGAACCTTAGGCATTTTCTTCACTGACACTGGCGTCAGGAAACATAATCCTAACCAAATTCCAGAACCAGTAACCCTACCCCTAATGTAAGGATTTTTCTTAAAGGCTGGGGCAGGAGATTGTGAGTCCTGCTTGGGCTGTGCAGTGAGCTCAAGGCCAACCTAGACTACATACTGTGACCTCTTCAAAACATTTAAAAAGGAGCCTTCTGGAAAGCCTCCATAACTTACCATAAATTCCTTTTCCTCTCATCTTCCATTTCCCATCCATCACAAGTCTTGCAAACTCTGCCTACAAGTTCTACCTTGAGTGTAACTCCTTCCCTGTTGCCCACTTCCACAGTCTGGGTGCACAGGGTCATGTGACCCGGCCAGGACTCCAGCAGTGACCTCCAACCCCCCACTGAAAACCCTTCCCCAACTCCTGGCACTGGGAACAGTCAGGCTCCGGCTGTGCACTGTGGCCCGCCCCTCCGGGGCCCTCCCTCCACCTGGGGAAGCTGCCCCCTTCCCTGCACACTCTGCAGCCTTCTCCTGGAATGCTCCCTTCGCTGCCGCTTGCTCTTCCCTGGTCTTCAGAGCCTTAGTGTGAGGAGTCTTCTCTCCTGGGCTCCCACAGCTCCCTGCTCCTTCCTTCAGGGTGCTTCATGGTTTATAGGCGTTGTCTGCCTCCGGATACTCCGTAAGAAGATACCACGGCCTGAAGCGGAATTTTATTGTAAAAATATAGGAATTTTCATTTGTTCAGATCAGGAAAATGTCAAGTGTGAATAGCAACAGACCACTGAGGATCAGATATCTCCTTCCTTTCTTCCCTGACTCCTCCTACCTACTGGCTGTGCGGCAGAGAATTATTCCACCAGTACACGCTACTAGAATACAGCGCTCAGAAATGCACGTCTAGGTACAGCCAGGCGGTGCGGAGGAAACCCCGTGTCTGCTGAGATACTGTGGATTCACCAGTGTGTCCTAGAAGCTGTGTTTCAGCTCAGGAGCTTTGTCAGACTGCCTACTCACAGTCAGATCGATTTAGATACTGAGACATCTACCGAGATGTTGGTTTGTTTTCCCTTTTTACTGAATCTCCCAGAATAAGATCAATCTTAGGACATAAAATATTCTTTTCATTGTTCCATGCATGGTTCATTTTTATTTATGTTTCTTTCTTTTCTTTCTTTCTCTTTCCTTCTTTCTCGTTCATTTATTCATTCAGCAGTGCTGGGGAGTGAATCCAGGTCCTTTACCCTGAGCTTATCCACAGCCTATTTTTGAGACAGGTGCTGAGGTTAGGCTTAATCTTGTAATTCTTCAGCCTCAGCTTCCCAGACCACTGGAATTACAGAACCACACCACCAGGACCAGCTAGTAGTTACTTTTAGTAAAGCAGTAATACTTACAAAGTAGCCACCTGCTTTATCACATCGTTTATAAACTCTCAGGCCTTATTTTTTTTTCCTCTTCGCATCACTTTATAAAGAGCATCCACCTCATTTGGGTAGGATGGAGACTGTTACCAAGTGAGGCTTTTGCTCACAATTCTGCTGTATGTTGCTTTGCATGTATTCCTGTCTGTAATGTTTAGCTGGGAATGGAATCAATGAGTTATAGAGAATGTGAATGCTCGTATTCAGTAGGTGTCTGACTTCATTTACTGTTCCTGTAACAAAATACCCAAGACTTGATGACTTAGAAAGAAAAGATGTCTATGAGGCCTATGGATCGGGAAGCTGGGAAGTTTACCAGCTTCTGTGCATTGCACCAGCATCTGTGCATTGCACAGCATTGCACCAGAATCTGTGGAATACCTGGCAGGGGCTCATGCTGCATGGTGACATGGCAGAGGCTGTCACGTAATGAAATACAACAAGCGTCCTAGCTCAGCTCTGTCTTCCTCTTCTTACAAAGCCACTAACACCAACATGGGAGCTCCACCTTAGGACCTCACTTCGTCCTAATTACTTTCCAAGGACCCACTTCCAAGTGCTGTTAGATGTCCGATTTGGAAATGAAGTTTTCAACACACAAATGTTGGGGGCACACTCATAGCAGTGAGTGTAGGCTGTTTTCCCAGGGACATTCAGAAGCTGGATTCCTTTCAACAGATTGTCAAGTCCCTCCTGACCCTGCCTTCATGAAACCGATCATGTTCTCCCTAAACAGAAGGGTACATGAATCTCTCCTTGTTGTCAATACTGCTTTAGACTCATCCACTTGGATTTTTGAGCTTATTTTTTCAGTCCTGTTTTTGTCATCCAGAATGTTAACTACCTTCCCCAGCTTCTTCAAGTGTTTGAAATGTGTCCATATTTCTATAAAATAATGATAGGAGAGCTGCAGCCAGGGACCTACTAGCTGCAGCCCATGGTGAATTTTTTGAATTCATTCTCCTCGCATAGACATTAGGCTCATTTTATAGCAGAAGAGGCTGAAGTCCAGAGAAGTGAAGTAAGTTCCCTCGTTTAAGAACAAGATCAGGCCATGTCCTCTCCACTAAACTCCGTGTACTCCCGCCTAAGGTCATGTGGAGCATCCTCCTCTGTGTCCCCGCACTCCACCTCACCTGCCAGCACCCCAGCTCCTCCTCCACTCGGGGTCCTGGGGTCCAGCTCCGTTCCATGGCCACCTGCACAGCCCCCTCCACATCTCATCATGGTGCGGTGTGTGGATGAGAGAACCCTGGCACTGGGGTTTAAAGTGAGCTCGGCTGCAGAGTCTGAGGTTCTTGAACTGTTTGGGATTCCGAGGTCTTCTTCAAGCTCTCGGAGACCCCATGTCTACACATGGATAGGGTGGATGGGGCAGGGTGTACCCCACAGGACACAGCAAGTGTGAGGGAGGACAAACGTGGCGCCCCAGGGGCTCCACCCTACGGTAACTGAGCTGCACTAAGCAGTGGCACTTGGTTGCTTTTTTCTCCCTCTTACCCACTTTTTCAGAAACTGGCATTTGTACAGTTTGGGTTAAAACACCTCAAGCTAAAGCCTCATTTTCTGTGATCAGACCACAGTTAATGTGAAATGACTGATGGTTGTCACTGTCTCATGTTTTCACATCGAACTAAGACAATCTGACTCTTCATAGGTGTAGAGGGTGATGAAGAAATTAGGCATTTGGATGAAGAAATAAAGGAACTGAATGAGTCCAACCTTAAAATTGAAGCAGATATGATGAAACTTCAGACTCAGGTAAAAACTACCAAGTTATCTTTAACGTAATTTTTAAAAAATCATAATATTCAGTAGAAATGAAATACTAAACTTTCTAAACTTTACATCCCCAAATATCTGATATCTTAGAGGAAATATACTGGAAAGTTCCTAATTGTTCAATTATTATAAAATCTTAAATAAATGGATCGTCCTGGGTCACTGATTTGATAGCTGTTAGCAAAGTTATTCATGTTTTGCTTTGGTTGTTTGAAGCCTTTGTTAGCAAATAACACAGGTCATCCCACAATTAAAGAGTCCTTGTAGAGCAAACAGCACTTTAGAAATAATCATGAAGTTTAGTCCTAAATTTTATCTAAAATTCAAATAAAATATCACAACTTTTAAAATTATTTCTGGAACAGGTCTGCAATATGTGTCAGTCTTTGTTAGAAACACTAACCCTACTGGACATTTGTTAAACAGATTCTTTATCCAGAAAAACCTAAGTAGTTTTTCCATGCCACATTCTCCAAAATGACTGCCTAAGCCTTTTGAAACACTAATAATAACTATTTCACCAAGTCAGACTGAAAAGAATGAGACATGTAGAAGGCCATGGAGGAATCTCAGTTCCCTTCTCTCTCTCCTGAAGTGGAGGGTTTTATACCACCATAGCTACTGACACCACAGTCCTTAGCTAGAGCAGTTTAGGACAATATGCACCCGTGGGAAACCAGTATGTTTCCACACTGAGTGACACAGTCTTCTACACATGATTGGGAGGTCTTGGTTTGGAAATCATGGGAGCCCCTCTTGGGAAGAATTAGCAAAGAATGCAAAACCTCTGCCCTTATGGAGCTTGACCTCTAGAAGGAGAAGCCAGGCAACAAACAAAAGTAATCATGTGGGACAAATCCCTTTGTATGGTGCAAAGAAGGAGAGTGAAGTAAGTGACTGGATTTCAATATTAGATTAGGACAACCAGGCCCCAGAAAAAGAAAGTATCTCAGCAAAGACTTGAGATTGAAGAAACTAATCCAACAAGTGTAGGAGGAGATATTTCACATAGGAAATACATCCAGTGCCAAATCGCTAATGGTGAAAAAGCCTAGAGATGTGGGGAGTGGCAAAGAGGGGGGCCATCTGTAGGTGAGAAAGTCACAGGATAAAGTTTCCAGAAGTGACACAAGGCCTTTCACAGGGGCACCCTAGACCACTGCACCAAAGCAAAGCTCTTCAAATGCGAGTCAGCATCTAAGTCAAATATGATCGTGTTGCTCAGGAGCTCAAAATCCCACAATGCCTCTGCAGTCCTTCAGAATAAAAACCGCAGTGCACCTTCCAAAGTCCACTTCTCATCTTCCCAAGTTATTTCTATTTTAGATCACGTCCATGGAGAGCAACCTAAAGACGATAGAGGAGGAGAACAAACTCATAGAACAGAACAATGAGAGTCTGCTGAAAGAGCTGGCGGGTCTGAGCCAGGCGCTCATCTCAAGCCTTGCTGACATCCAGCTTCCACAGATGGTAAGTCGCACCCTTGAACTTTGCTGTCCCATCAAAGAGGACGGCAGTGTCACCAGCCATCAGGGGTGGCCTCAGGTTAAGCAGGACCCACCTGCGAGGAGCCTGTCAAATGCCAGGGTCAGTGCGGCACCATCGTGTTTCACTTGTAATCATCTCTTCAGCTGGGAGAGACGCATATGGAAACTATATTAAGGCCAAGGATAGTCTTAAAGGCCAAGGTCATTTAAAGGTGAAGGTTTGCTAGGCCAAGCGGCATGCTCCTATGCTCTCAGCTGCTCCAGAGGCTGAGGCAGAAGGATTACAAATTCAAAGACAGCTTGGGCAAATTAAGGAGACCCAAGAGGAAGAAAAGGTAGGGAGAGGAGATGGTAGAGAAAAAAGGAACAGGAGATTTGATTTGAAGCTTGTTTCGTAGTATAATGCGAAAACAGGAAACACATTTTCAAGTAGAAATTTCCATGGCTCACAAGATCTACAACTCAACCTTCTGTATCATCCAGTCCAAGAACAGCAAAAAGCTTAATCCCCTGTAAACCTGGTGATTTGGTGATATGTTAACAGGAAGAACATACTTTAGCTCTCCTCATATAGAATAGAAAAACACAAAAATGAGCAAGGCATGCTTATTTCCAAACTCTACACATTTTTAAGATATGCAACCATGCAGGCTTTATTAAAATTACTATTTTCCATGTTGTATTAAATATAAATAAATCCGAGGAAGAGAGGTTGCATTTCTGAATTCTCAATTTCTTCAGAGCTCACACTCTTAGAACAAGTTTTTAAAGTTGCCAGTTTTATGTGTGAAGTGGTTTAAAGAAGCATCCATATAATGAAGAAGCATGATTAGTTTTGCTGAAAACAATAAATCCCTCAGTGAACCCAACTTCCTAACATGTAGCCTTCATCTTAACCAATTCCAGAAGGACTCTTTGACCAAAAAAGTCACTAATCTAACAGTAATCACAAAGGAAGATAAATTTTATTTTATGGCTGTATTAAGGTAATTATTGGATTTTTTGGTTTTTAGTACTGGGAATTGAACTCAGGACCTTGCACTTTCCAGGCAGGCACCATGCCTCTGAGCTACATCCCCAACCCTTAATGTTACTATAATTACCATTCACTCAAATTTGTCCAACTCACACTTCCTTAATCTTCTTCTCTTCTTTCCTCATGACCTAAGGAAGACAGATGCCATGCACACTAACTTGTGCCTTGTACAGTTAGTACATGGGACACTGTAGTTGGGACTTTTAGGGCTGCTTACACAAAATGTTCCCAAGACACGAAAGGCAGAATAAAATTTCCATTCTACAGCAAAGGAATCATGGCTCAGGGTTTCCATCATAGCATCCAGTTCCAAGTGGCTGCAAGTTAGGAGGGGTCTGGCTTCATGGTGTGGCCTTTCTCAACTCTGCCTCCCAGGTCCTCTTCCCTTTTTAAGTTCCTCCAAGGCACACAGAGCATAACAACAGCAGAAACTAAAAACAAATAGAAAATTACGATTGCATAATACAAGGAGGGAGTATGTTGCTAAGCACAACTAAATAAACTTGAAATTTAGCAAGTTTTCTGTCCTACTCACTTTTCTCATTACTGAGACAAAATACCCAACAATTACAACTTAAAGGAAGAGAGGTGTTTTGGCTCACAGGTTTTAGGTGATCCAGTGTGCACCTAGCTGGCTGTCTCCAAGGCAGGAAGGGTATGGTGGAAGGGGCTTCTAGAAGAAAGCTGCTCGCGTCGTGGCAGCCAGGAAGCAGAGAGCAAAAAGGGAAGGGCAAAGGAGGGAGACATACACTTCTGGTTGTGCATCCGTGGCCTAGCTCTACCCGGGCCCTAATAGTCCACCCAGATACTGACCTCTATAGTGGACAAATCCACTGACACAGACAGTGCCCTTGTAATCCAGTCACCTTCCCAAAGGCCACTTCGGAGTGCATGAGAGTGTGGGGGATATTCTAGATCTAACCTTAACACTGGCCTTCTAAATAGTAACAGTGGCAATAATGGCCTGTTAATCCACAGTATTTACACCTTTCAAAAGTCTTTTCTTCCAAAGCCCTTGTAACATAAGATGCCTGTGTTGTTTTTCAAAAAGTGGAGTAATGGAGCCACCAACAGTGGGTAGGTAGCATTCCTCTTTGGGTCACACATTTCTTGTCATGCATGTGTGCAGTGTACATGTATCTGGCATGTACTATCTTTGAAGCATCACACATGAGGCAAAGGAAGAAGATTCTAGAACACCAAACAGGATAATGGTGCAAACATCTTGACTCCGTGAAACGGATATTCTAACTGAAGAGATGAGAAAAAAAGATGTGTGTATCTTAATGATGCTACCAAAGAAAAATGGACAAAAAGAGGTCAGAGTAGGAAATAGAAAGTTCTCTGTCACACCTGGTCAGGGAGCATCTCACTTATAGCTTAAACTCCAGCCCGGAGATGTTGAAGGAGTCACTTGACACAAACAAACCTTCCATCCCAGCCTCACCTACACTGACCTTCTCCCAACACAGATCTCCTGGGCTGAACATGTACAGCGGAGGCCAATTATCCTCCAAGGAGATCATAAGGTATTGAGGAGCCCAATTTTGCAACCAGACTCTAAAGTGAGCCCCAATACTTTTCATGAATCCCATGATTGAAGAGAGAACAAGTGTATCCCAACACATTCCAATCTCTCTCTCTGTCTTCCCAAACTCCAGCAGCCATGTGAATTTTTGTCTACCCTCCCAGATACCCGAGTCATCCACATTCTTCCTTGTCACTTGCTCCTCCCCTGGCTGGTCTGAACCACTGTGATTGGCTCCATGTGTTTTGTCTCTATTTAGGGACCTATCAGTGAGCAGAATTTTGAAGCATATGTAAATACACTCACAGATATGTACAGCAACCTGGAACGGGACTACTCCCCGGAATGCAAAGCTCTACTGGAAAGTATCAAACAGGCAGTGAAGGGTATCCATGTGTAGGATCCCAGTGCTCCCGGCAACAGAGATTCCAACAGCAGTGAACTCCAGATGGATCTACCAGGGGCACGCGGACTGCTGAGACCTGGAGGTTGCCATCCTGCATTACGAACGCAACATTGCACTATTTTCCCCAGCTGACATGAAAAGGAAAGAAGAACTATGATAGACTCTTTAGATTAAAAGCAATGCAGTCAATTATTAGATCTTATTTATTTTCATATGTTTTCCTTTTATTTCTTCATTGAACTCTTTCTTTTGTAAAGTATATGTAAAATAAATGTGACATTTTTATATTTTATTTATCACTAATCAAAGAATTTTTTATCTTTTAACTGCATTTTGAAGTCTGCCATATTTTTACAAGTGTGTTTATTAATTTATTTTCTAATAGGATTTAAATAGAAATGCTATTCTCAAATCACCTATCTTGCTGGGTTTCCATGAGCAAACAAGAAAGTGTGAAGGAAATCCATGTGTAAGGACTGCACTATGGTCGAGTTTGATTTTTATTGCACACTTCCTATTACCCTGTTCCACTGGTTTCCGTAGTATTGGTAAATGAGTTTGCAGTAGAGGGAGCTGTGTGGAAGGAATAAGAGGATACATGGCGCCGCCTAGTGGGCACCCTCACAAAAGCACAGGATGCTGGACAACAGCTTGCTCAGAATTTGTTAGCAATAATTAAATATAGCAATCAGCAAACTATTCGACTTGGTTGCACGGTTTTAGTTGATATGAATTATTTATTTGAAATGTTTTAAAGAAATGTAAGGGTTTTTTTAGTGATGCAGATTTGTCTGTTTGTTTTTCAAGTCATATCAGATAGTTGGCAACTCTTAGCCCAAGAGACAAGAAATAAAAACTTGATGTGACCAGTCAGGCTTTCCTGTCATATTTGGTACAATACACAGATAAGAATGTTGGTGTAGATTTGTATTTAGCAAATATGAACACATCCAAGTGAAAAATTCTGTAGATACCATATCCCCTGAAATAGCATTTATCTTACTGGGTTGACTAGAAAGGAGTGAAAATTACAATAAGACATAAAAAAAAAATGTTACTACGGTTTGAACAATTGCCTTCACGACTGGCAACACTGGCGTTCTCCACCTTAGGAACTAAGACAACACTCAATTTGCTACAGTCTTGCCATTGGACTGCAAGAGGTACCAAGCATACACACACACACACACACACACACACACACACACACGCATGCACACACACAGACATGCACACATAGGCACATGGGTGTATTCACACACTCATCCACACATAAAATTGAGCCTACAATCTTGAATTTCTGAATGGATCAGAGTTTAGTAGTTGCTGTAGTAAAGGCAATGTCTATTTCAGGGATTGTAAAGTAGTTAAGCATTGTTTCAAAAGTTTTTTTATATTTATTTTTTTTAAGGAAAAGGTATAGACAACCAGCTAAACTGCCTTTTGGGTGTGCACACACATTTCATGTGCAGACGTGCCTCTGTGTAAATGTACACATGAACTTAGTGTGGGCTTACTTTTCTGTGCTATAACAAAAGTGTTTATTTTTTATTAGCCTCATGGATATGTAGACTGAATGTGATGGCATTCACAGGTTTGATATTGCTGTTACTGCACAAATACATGAGGAGTAACACTGGCCAGAAACTCCACTCCCACGAAGCTGTGGTCATTGTTATGCATCATCTTTGGTTTGGGGTTCATTTGAACTCTGGAATCTTAGTTTAGTGAAAATGAAATGTCTGCGCTTAGATAGGAATGGTGTTTATTTAAAAACCAATTTTTTAAAAAAGCTACCATATGTGCTGTCTATTATAAATGGAACACCAGACAAAATTTTCTATTAAAGTTATGTCCTTGCAAACATTTTGCTATACAGTACTTCATAGATGCATACAAGTGAGTTCATTTATTACAAAAATGGAAGTTTAATTTGCTAAATATTTTAACAATTTGTTATATATTTTATTTAATTTAAAAAGAAATCTCTTACCAACCTATGTATTTATTACTATAATTTACTATGACTTCGGGTTAATTTATTTGTGTTTGCATAGTTTGAGAGAGATGTTTTGTGAGTGGTATTTATTTGCCTCCTTTGTACTTGATGTGTTTTGTAATGTGCACTGATTTATTTTTCTTTTCAACTATGTTAATGATCAATACTGTAAATTGGGTCTTTTGTAAACAACCAAAAAAGCAATGATGTATGCATTTTTTTTAATTTGAGGCAGTTTGTTTGTATACTGTTTCTCCAAACAATTAATATTTCTTACATCAAAGCAACAAAATCGTGTTCAGTGCTGTACCTTTGGTGTATGGTAGGAAATAAATATTGGTAATGAGTTTTGCTGTGGTCTTTCTCAGGCTGCCATGGAGTCAGTGTCACCTTTGCCCAAGACCTGCAATTCCACCATAGCCCCACCGAGGTAGAGAACTCCTTTGAGCTGCATGTTGTTATGACAACCAGCCTACTTGGCTTGTTCTCGTCTCTCTCCAGTAGAGACTTTGGCTGTGGCTTGGCCCCACCTCCCTCCGCTTACCATGTACTTCCAGCAGGGCGAATGCCTTTGATCCCAGGAGTATCAGCAAGACACAGCTCCTTGCTTCCTGATTCCAAAATAGCTTTAGGTACTGAGTATATCTGTGTGTGCTGACAAGCTAGCTAAACTCTTACAGAAAAAAAAAAAAAGATTAATTCTTGATAATACTGAATTTGCTTGTTGGGTTTTCCAACATAATGCCAAATCATGTAGCTTAATTTTCCAGTTTCTGTCCAGACTTACACATCTTATGCAACCAGCTGGGTCTGGTTGTCACTTAGGCAATATGGTAAAATCCATGCAACCCATGTGTAATGAAGCCAAGTTGGCTGAGAGGAATTCTAGGTCCCAAGAGCAAAGGCAGGGCTGTATTTGAGAAGCTCATCGTTAAACAAAACTTGGTCTGATACAGTTAGTGCACAGGGTAGCATTCTTTTAATCATCCAGTTTACGTGTACAGAATACGCATGTGGTATTTGAATTAGATCACAGGGTGCAGCCTGCTCCACCCGGTTCTTAGCTTCGCCCTTGCTGGGTATGCTCAGGTTTGCGCAGGATCCTACTGAAACACTGTGAGGGTTATCGAACAAACTTTGATTTCCTGGGAAAAGTTCTGGTTGGGGACTTTTTTTTTATTTTAAAGAGGGTAAACTAAACATAACAAAACAGAACAAGGTAGATCAGAAGAAAACAATGTGACACAGATTTCAAAGCAAGATAATAGGAGATCTACCATAGCTACTGTAATGTCTTTTGTTTTCTTCTAAATAGTTGTCCATATGTTTACACACAATGAATTCACACAAAACAAAATAGTATTAAACTGATCAGAACAGAGAGATGAAGGCCTTATAGGCCTTCAAAACCAGACAATAGGGAAATCAACAATGTCTGCCATAATGTCCCTTGTTCTCTTCAAAATAGCTGGCCATACCTTCATGTATGTTGAAACTAAACAATACAAAACAGACTAAAACTCTGAACAAAGAATAATAGCATTAGTGGATTTCACAGCATGATGATACAGAATCAGCTATGAATACCAGAGGGTGTCTTTTTCTTCAAAGTAGCTGTTCATTTAGTCATGCATAATACAAGCGATTCTCATAACCTGCTTATGGGAAGGTCTATGCGTGTTTAAGCCTCTACATGTCCACCTATGCTTTCTGTACTAGAGGGAAAAACAAAACAAATTACTACAAAAACATGAAACACATAAGACAAATAACAATAAGAACCCAAAACAATGACACTATAGGCCTTCAAAACAAGGTGGTAAGAGCATAACTAGGGTTGTTATTTTACATAATGATCTTCATGAGTTCCTCAGATCACCAGGCACTAACAGGCAAAATTGTTCCAATCCCATGAATGTTAGCTATTTTGTTCCAAGAACTTACAGACTTTGTAGCACAATCATCCTAGCTATCTTAACCGTGATTATACAATTTTAGATATTTTTTCTTTTTCTTTTTCCTCCTTTTCCCTCAGATATTAATTTTTTTCCTTTTGAGCAAATTCTTATCTTTTCACTGCATTTAAATTTCCATTTCCATTTCACTGCATTTATTGAGGATTTTGTATCTTATGTACTCTTACCATATCTTATCCTAGGGAGACTGTCCAGTATATACACGTGAGTATGATTTTTTTCACTTTTGAGTAAGTCTCAAGTTGTGTCCATTTATTTATAAATATCTCAATGTGATCATTCTTTATAGCTGAGTAGTACTCCATTGTATAAAAAACACCATATCTTTTTATCCATTCCTCAGTTGATGGACACTTAGGTTGTTTCCAAGATCTGGCTATTACAAATTGTGCTTTTATAAACATGGGTGCACATATATCACTGTGGTATGATGTTTTTAGTTCTCCTGGGAATATGCCCAAAAGTGGAATAGCTGGGTCAAATGGGACCTCCAATCCTAGCTTTTGGAGGAATATCCAGACTGACCTCCACAGTGGTTGCATCAGTCTATAATCCCACCAAAAGTGTAAGAGTTCCTTTTTCCCTACAGCCTCTCCAGCATTTGTTGGTGGTTTTCTCTATCCTGGCCATTCTTTCAGGAGTGGGATGGGATCTCAGTGTGGTTTTAATTTGCATTTCGCTAATGACCAATGATGATGAACATTTTTTCATGTATTTTTTTTTTATCTTTTGTACGTCTTTATCTGAGAACTGTGTATTCATCTCAGATGCCCATTTTTGGATTGGGTCTTAGAATTTCAGGTGTCTGAATTTTTTTTAATTCTTTATATGTCTAGACAGAAGTCCTTTGTCTGAAGGACAGTTGACTAAGATTTTTTTCCCAATCTGTGGGTTTTCTTTTCACTATTCTGGAGATTTCTTTTGACATGCAAAAAAAAAAAAACTCTTTAATAAGATATGATCCCCGTTATTGATTCTGGGAAGTATTTCCCATACGGTTTGATTTTTGTTCATGAATTCTCTACCTACCCCTATGTCTTCAAGATTTTTACCTACTTTGTCTTCCAACAGATTTAGTGTTTCTGTTTTCTTATTCATATCTTTGATCCATTTAGATTTTAATTTAGTACATGGTGGTAGGCCTAGTTTTAGTTTTCAGCATATGGAGAGCCAATTTTTCCAGCACCATTTGTTAAAGAAATAAAAGATGGAGTAAAAAAATCTCAGGTAAGTGGGAGAGGAAGTCATAGAACAAACTTTCACTTTTCAGAATTCTAGTTTGTATGCATAGATTTCAGTATGCAAAAGACTTAAAATCAGAACCAGGTATGTGGTAGAATACTCAAGCCATGTGCACAAAGCTCAGGATTTAATCTGAAAGAAGAGGAAAAGAAAGAAAATGAGGAGAGGAGAGGAGGGAAGAGGAGAGGAGGGGAGAGGAGAGGAGGGGAGAGGAGAGGAGGGGAGAGGAGAGAGAAAAAAAGGCAAAGCAAAGAAAGGAAAGGAAAAGAAAAAAGAAAGGAAGAAAAGACACATCAGAGAACAACAGGAAAGATTTCCATCAGAAACTATTTGTTCCAGCAATTCGAATAATTAGCAGGTTGAGAAAAGAAATTGTGTTCAGTGTTGTTCCTGCACGTTATAATCAGAAATAAAAGTCAATGAAGTTTTCTGCAGTCATTTGCAGGCCACCTATCAGCATTCCTAGGAAAACGCTTGGGTTTTCAGACATAAGGCTAAAATAGTTCAACTGGGGCCAAAGTCTTGAATGAAAAGAAAGGGCTGAATGATTCTTTGATTTGCCCTATTAAAAAGTTTTCAGAATTTACTTTTCTGGTACGTAAATATTTTATTAACATTCATGAAAACTAATGTTTCTTACAACTCTTCCCATGTACTACATCTAATTTATTGTGATCTGAGAGCAGTACCCTGTTATTTCTCTCAATATTCAGCAGATAATTATAAAGGAAGCAAGACTTAATTGGCTAATCACTATCCACATAGACATAATCAATGATGCTTTGTATACTTCATCTCATGTCTTCAGGTTTACTGCACCATGTGCAATTAAAGTGATACAAAACCTGGGGCTTTGGAAATTTCACATCCTGCCCAAGATTATGAAATTAGGAAAAGGGTTCAGCCTCAGACACAAGTAACCGAAAAACCAACCAGTGTCTTCCCACGGCTCCTAAGGACAGTGCTGTTGTGTGTGGTTTCTTTATCATCAGGACTATAGCAGGGCTCATGTGCTGGCCCATCCAGGAAGCAGTGAGCGCAGGGTGGACTTCTGATCAGTGTTCTGATCACCCCTGTGGGTGGGGTTGTCTAGGTTCCTGTGAGATCCTGTGTCATCTGGAGGAGAGAGGTGTGAGGTCAGATGATGACATGCTAGGAACCGGCCGAGTGGGGGTATGCAAACCCCCATTAAGTGCCTCCTGAATGTCCCAGCCTAAGCTTCCCAGCTGGGTTACCAGGGAATTATGTTCAGTGTCACACTGATACGAAACTGAGGTATAGGAAGAATAAAGAATTTGCTTGATGCTCCAAAGACTGCGGCCAGAGTCGGGGTTCAGCTCCGGTCACCATTACTGTGGTCAGTGGTGCTCTCTGAAGCTGCCAGCGTCCTGACCTGCCTTGCTTCATGGCATCACTGAGCAGGACATGGTCAAGCAGCCACCACTCCAGGGACAGGTGTTCAAGGAGCATCATTTTAGGCCCTCCTATATGAATCACAAAAATGTGATGTTTTAGTTGTTAATTTGATGAATGAAAATCCTAAATATGGATTATAATAGTGAAACCTAAGAAAAATGTAAATGGCTCATTTTTCTGTTTGTTTCCAGAGCAAAACCAATTATTTTTTTCAGTCGGCAGTTGTTTTGTATATGCTTGACAGTTTTGTATTGGCCTAGGCCAAATTAAAGCACAATTTCCCCTGACTGTTACCAGCTCTTAAACATTTTGAAACATACAGAGAATGTGAGTCCCCTGCTCTTAAGACACAGCTGTTTTTTTAGTAGTTTTCCACTTCAGTGTGTATTATCTGATACAAAAATAATCATGTGTCTTCTATGACTGATTGCCTTGCTCACTTTTAATGCAGTTCTTTGGGTTCACTGATTATCTGTTGTAAACTGCAGGTGGCACTTGGTGACATGCCACTCTAGTAATGTTTTTAGAGAATCAAATTTTCAACTATCAAAACTCATTTTTTATTTGTTTTTATTACTGGATATTAAACCAAAGTCTTCTCGCTGAGCTATATATACATATTCCAAATCCCTTTCATCTTTTATTTTGAGCCAGGGTCTCACTAAATTGTTAAATTGCCAAGGCTGGGCTTGAAACTTGTGATCCTCCTGCCTC